CTACGTAGCACTAACGCTTAAAACACCTAGGACCTAGCGCCCTAGAACACATAGTAAATTAAACTAAAGGGGTAAAAATTATAGGCCTTACTATAGTTTACTATAATGCTTATAGGTAATTAAAAGCTAAGAAGAGAATCTAGCGCACACTAAAAATTAACAATAAAGAACTTAGAGAAAAGGTAGCTATTAATTTTTACCTGTTTAAGAATAGTAAAGAAACAGACGTCTAAAGCACAATGCTTATTACTAATTAATACTTAAAACTTATATAGAACTATTATCTAACTAATTAAACTAGAGAAACTTTACTCTATATACTTAAATAGTTTGTAACGTTCTTAGAACGCTAGTTTAAGGTAAAACTTAAGGTTATTAAGAGCAATAATAAAATGTTCTACTATAATAAAAAAACTATTAGTTATAAGTAGTGCAACGCGTAAAGAATTAAATTAAAGCTTTTTGCTTTTAATACTTAAGTATAGAATAGCAGAGCAGAACGCTTAAAAGTAGTTATTAAGAAAAAAGCGCGCGTAAACTAACTTAGTGCTAAACTCTTTTAAAATTTATAGCTAGAAGTTGTAGCTGCTACTGTCTACCTCTATAACAGGACGCTAAATTATTAAAACAAATAGAAATTACTGTACAAGATGTTCTATACTAAAGTAGGTTACTAAAACAGAACTGCTATAGGCCCTTAAAAACTAAATCTCTTTTATATTTAAGCATATAGCTGTAAAGCTTTTGCTATAACAGACAACACGTAATTAGAAAAATATAAACTCTAACGTCTTAATCTAAAAGCCTAAGTTAGCTACCTAGTTAGCTATTAATCTACAAACATCTACTATATATAAATACTATTACTTAAGAAAATAATTAGCACTTAAGACGTTGTCTTTAACAAATAAACAACTTATAATAGAAAGAAGAACAATATTAAAAAGAGCCTTCTCTACTAAACAACTAAAGAAATTAAAGTTTAGGCTAAAATAGTAGCTTGTAATATCGCCGCATAAGAGTTAGTGTTAAAGAGGATTAATATTGCTAAGGTGCTACTAGTTAGCGTAGGCAGCTTAGCAAGAGCGCATAAAAGGCGCACCTAAGGCACTAAAAGAGAACAAGTGTTATTCTAAATTATTAGAAAGGGATACTTTTTAAAAAGAGCTATCTTTTACTATTACTAGTAGTGTAAAGCAAGTACTATTGCCTATAACTACGCCTTACAAATTAAAACATCTATATGTAAATACTACGTAGGTATTAACTCCCTAGCACACTTTTAAAAGTCTAAAAAGCACTATATAAACTCCGTATTTTACTTTTGTTATAGCAACAGAAGTTTACAACAACTATATAATTATAAGAGTTTACTATAATTCTACACAAGCCCTGCTGCATAGTAAAGAACAGAGTGTTTATCTTCTTCTATATTAATAATATTATCTTTGCCTACAACCTAGCTAAAAAAAAAAATATTAACATACTATAAAACAACTACAACAGTGCTTTACTATAACTAGAAAAGAAGACCTACAGTAGTTTCTTAGCATAGAGATTATTTGTAATAAAAAGAAGAAAACTATTTACTTATTACAAGAAGCGTATATTAATAAAATTAATAAGTTAGTAGATAATAAAAAGGTCTAGCATAACACACTTATAAGTAGAATTAAGCTTAAACTTTATAACAGACTAGCAACGCCCTCTAAAATTAATTAATACTAATAAAAGATTAGATCTTTGCTGTTTGCAGCTATAACTACACAACTAGATATATTATTTATAGTATTATAACTTGCTTGTTTTCTTGCAAACCTATTATTAGAGCACTATTAAGCTGCTAATAAGGTGCTCCTTTACCTTTACAAAACTTAGAGAATTACACTTTAGATAGAAGGAAGAGACAGATTTAAAGTAGCAAGTAATGCCTTATTTACTAATAATACAATAGATAAAAAGAGTTTTTAAAGATACGCAATTAAGCTATTTAGAGGACTTATTGCGTAGAAGGCAAACAAACAAAACACTGTTACTATATTAACAACTAAAGCTAAGTTACTTGCTCTTGCTTAAGTAGCTAAGAAATTAATATATATTAAAAGGCTTATGCTAGAACTAGAGATTAAACTACTAAAGGCAATTAAAATACAATGTAACAATTAGCAAACAATACATTTACTAATAAAAGAACTTGCAAAGCTTGTTACTAAGCTACACTATGTAGATATCTACAATTACTAGCTAAGGCAAGCAGTAAATTATAGTAAAATTACTATAATTTACTATCTAACTAGTAAAATAATTACTAATAGATTTACTAAGGCATTAGCACTAAACAAATAGGCTTCCTTTTTATCTTAACTTAGATTAGAAACAGTAGAGAACTATAAAACAAAAAAAGCTCTTAACCTGTCTATAAAAGAGACCTAATTAAGTAAGTTGTTTCTAGCTTAACTAATCTAAAACACTACAGAATTATTAAAAGTTACTGTAGAATTGCCTAAGTTAGCTAAACTAAAGAAGTGTGTTAAATAAAAAGCAATAAATAGGTGTGCACCTGTGCACACTAGCTCTCTACTTAAGGTAAAAAAGAGGGGGTATAGCAAAGTTATAAGGTCTAAAGAGACAAACAATTAATTATTAATTTCTATTATAATAGTTATTACTATAAATTACTGTAATATCTAACAACTTTACTTTACTAATTTTACTAATTTTACTACTTATAATATTAATTATAAATTTTATTTTTTATTTATATATATTATTATTAAAACTTTATTAGCTTACTTTAGCTTTACTTTTATTATTATTTTTTACTAAAATACTTAACTTAAGTTACTAAAATACTTAACTTAAGTTACTAAAATACTTTTAAAAGCTTTAAATTTATACTTACTTTTTTTATATATAAATATATTAAGCTAGCTATATTTATTTTTAATTATAAACTATTTATACTTTATTTGTTATAAGTATTAAAGTAAATTTATTATTTTAAGCTTTTATTTTTTATACTAAGTTAAGTATTTTTATTTTTATTTTATATAATTTAAGCTTAGCTATATTAATAAAATAAACTAAATATAATAACACAATTATAGTATAGTGCTAATATAGCTATAAATTAACTTAATAAAAGAATTATATAAAAATAAAAAAGTACTAAAAAAAATAACTAAATTTTTATAAGTTTTATATAGTAAAATAATTAAAACTATTTAACTAAAGTTAAACTACTTATAGTTTTGATACTTATAGTTACTAGTAAGTATTTAAGTAGTATTTTTTAATTATTATAAATATTTATAATACTTTAAATATAAGTAAAAAGTAAATTAATTTTTATATATATATTTAAAAGTAGTATATAAAGTACTTTTAGTAAAAAGCTAAGCTATTACTAAATAATACTTAAGTAAAATATAGCTAAGTTAAAGCTTAACTTAAATATAGCTAATAGTAAGTTAAGCTATTATTATAATAAGCTAAAAAAAACTTAAGTATAGCTTAAATATATAGTATTATTGTCAGATATCACAGTGAATTGCTGTAATGGATAAGTTAATGATTGTATTTCTTATGATTTGTTCTGATGATTGTGTGTGTTGTTGCCCACCCCCTAGGGGGGAGGAATATTATCTAGTGTAGCTAATCCTTATGCTAAGCACCAAGTTTTTCCCGGTGGCTAGTCTAACTAGGTGTTACTTTGAGACCTCGTAGTGGCTCATAGTGATTCATAGTGCCATATTTGACAATTATATTATACTAAGTTTATATTACTATATATTATTATAAAAAAAGTTAATAAAGTACTTTTTAAAATAAAAATTATATATATATTAAATATATTAAAAAGTTTTTTTAATAAAAAAAAGTAAGTAAAGTATTAAATTTTTAAATATTTTACTTAAAGTAATATAAGTAATGTACTTAAGCGTATAGCAAGTAGTAGCATTATTATAAGTTTTTTTAAATATTTTAAACTATTTAAACTATTTATTTTAATACTTTAGTATTATAATAGATTTTATTTTATTAAAAAAGGCTTTTATAAATAAATATAAAAAATAAAATAAAAAAATAATTTTTTTAGCTTTAGCCTATTTTAGACTAGTGCTAAAAAGTGCTCTTAAATTTTGCTTATTTTTATTAATTTTTACTATTAAATCTATTGTTGCGTGTAAAAACACCTAAACTCTCTCTTAAAATAAATCGCACAATAAATTGCAGCATAAATCTAAAGTGTAAAAGAGAAAAATTACAATCCGCCCTTAGACTGTGCAGTACACAATGTATGTTGCATTGCAGATAATAATTACTATCCTAAGTATTAAGCACTTATTTATCAAAACTGATTGCAATAATGAAAAGTTTCTAGCGATTGCCATGCGATCTCGTACAGATTAAGTCTGGTGGTTTTGACAGCATTGATTGCATACGTTTGGATCGAGTATGGCACATTACTCACTGCGATTCACTCGCGCAGCAAAACAAGTAGTCAATACGGTTGACCGGCTCTTGGATTGAATAATTCCTATATGAAGATTGACAACGGAAGATTCCAGATTCTCGTGGTGTGCATTCAATACGACTGTTCACATCCGAGAAGAATAACAGGCATGTATTAAACTGCTGGGAATTCCCAACAATCTCTAACCAAATTAGTGAATTATCATCACTCATGTTCTGTACTTCAAAGTTTTTCACCGCGTTCAATATGCGACGAGACAGCAATTCAATATACACGTCATTTGAGTCATCATACTCCGGCCAGCTGAGCTGATCCAAATCCCCCGTCATCATTTCAGCCGTGGTATTTTACGAGGATTGCTCACGCTGCCTCTCTGACCAGAACTGGTGTTTATCGCTTAATTAAGGACGGTAGTGAATCATCGAATTTCTATGCAGCACAAACACTTGGTATTAAGAAAGTTTATCGCTAATAGTTTCTTGGGAATAATCTACATGATGACGTCATTTGCGGCAATCCCACTCTACAAAAGCCCCCAGATAGCAACCAACGCCACACTCATGACAGCCCACATCGTCCCTTGAGTTCTTTCGGTAGAGCCACTCTCTTTTGGCCCCGAACCGGAATTCTTATTCTTGTCCGATCCCACTGACTCGTAGAGGGGCCACAGACAGCTCACATGCGAATCTTGTGTTTTGACATCCGCGTCGCCGTTCTTATCCCAAAACACTGTCAACGCAAGATTAAGGCTGTTCAACATGTCTGTAGTGTCGTTATACCAGATAGTGCCCGAGTTGTTCCAGTTTTGCACGAGAGTTAGATCGTTTGTAGTCGGTCGTGTGGGATAGCATTCCGTTGTTGAGTTCTGCTCTTCAGTGAGGGCTTTCGGAGCAGAAGGGCCAATCAATGCTGCGATGCTATGTTAGTAGTATCCTTCAATTTTTCACATCATTGAAATGATGACAGTGTTGAATCTTACGAATATAGTGCACCTTCCTCCAGTCAAACGCGCATTTCGAGCCATCTCCAGAGACAGTCCAGAGATACTGTTCTAACCCGTCACACGCGTCACTCGAGCCATTGAACTGGTTTCCTTGATCTTTGGCGAAGCTGAGCACGTTGTCTTGCAGCTCCTTATGACATCCCTCTCCAATAGTCTGCTCGCATCTCTGTCGTATCGGCGTGCGACTATTCTGCAAAAGATCGTATGTTTCCATAAGAACCGCGCATCCTCCCCGGTCAGTATTTGTGGTAAGATTGAGACCCTCTGGTGTCCCAAGGAAGAATGCCTTTTCTACGACGCGGGGGAGGCCGTCATCTGGATCGTCGACGTCGTAGACATGGACCCCGATTGTCCACGTCAGGTTGTTCGATTGAGAGCTGGAAGAGTTGTAGGGAAAGGTGTCTACGCCAATATTGACATACGTCTGGTTGCTGACGGGACATGCATCAAGGTTTGTCCCTGGGCATTCGATATCGCGGCAGGATCCAAGGGCTTTGTCGTCGAGCCACTGTGCTGCTGCGAGCGAGGACACAGTGAAAGCTAATGTGGTTCGTAGAGATTTCATGTTCACGCTGGTAAACGTTTCGTTCTTGACAATGACAACATCATGTGGAAATGTGAGGCTCTATGTATACTGCATCATGCATGTACTGCCACTTGCCAGTGGGTCATCAGGTGTCCGACTGTGGAGTAAATCCGCCCCATTGTTTTACGATATTCGTCGATCGTTGCTCATTCGGGACATGCGCCCTCCTTGAAAAGGCTAGCGCACATCCTACTCGGTTACCACGGGTTATGTATTTACTCAATGTGGACTCACTGATGCCGTCACTAACCTTGGCAATCAGGATGACATGCGATAGAAATTGACAATATCGCTTGCGTATTTCAGTCTGCCAAGGCACGATTCTGCGAGTTGACTGGATACTTTCGGATTAAATCGACGAAGATTTTCTGTCTGTCCAACCAGCTTGAAGTTATTGACTTCAGCGAAACTCTAAAGTATGAGTGATGAGTTATATTATACCTTGGTACATCACAACAATCAAGCAAATTACTGTCTTGTAGTGTTTGTTTTGCTTGCCCAAATATATCTTCTTCATTGCCTGCCACCCTAGCTACGTCATTTCCCCGGCCTTCATCATCTTGGCCTTCTTTAAGTCGTTGATTGAAATGGCCATGCTCTCCGCGCATTGTGTTCTTCCCCGCCATGTTATAGTCCAAAGCCAACGCTCATTTTCTATCGTTTCCACTACGCCAAACACATCACATGCCCAGATCAATTTGGTACTGGGTACTTATGCGCATAACAAGTTCACCATACTAACCCATTCACGAAACGCCAAAATTTGGAAATATTCATGTTCGCTTGGAGCATGAATCAAATGGTGCGCAATAAACGACTAAGCCATCATGATTACTATGCCCCTCAAGCGGCTATCTGAGATACATCGCTCACAAGACAAAAGAACGAAGACGGGTCGCTACAGCCGACCTTCAAATCCAGATTACAAAATCCGACCTATAGGCGATGAATCATGAGGCAATATCACTCACTATATGATGGCCAAGTTGTGCCCCACTTATGCCAGGGAGAGTTCTAACAGTAGTCCCAACTAAGAACCTAGCTCGTAACAACAGCATGCAACGTACCGGATTTGCAGCTACGTCACTGGGTATTGCACGACCGCTACGTCAGGTGTTTGAGGACCCTTGCAACGAAGTCTTATGCGCAATTCTGGGAATCGCGACGAATGAGACCGGAGTCCTTTCGAGTCATAATATACCTCTAGACTAGTGTCATGTGTTTCATCGCAGTTCTAGTCAGACGTGAATCGTTGGTGCAATAGAAACAAGATAAAATGCCTGAAAGCTCGACTGGCAACCTCCTGGTCCTCATTCGACACTGCTTGAATATTACCAAACAACGCTCGACAAATTGTAACAAAACATACAGTAAATAGCAGATTCAATTAAGCCAGGCAGGACTAAAATAAAAATTTGGAAAACATAACAAAAGTCCAAGCTGACTGTAAAAAATCTTAAGCACAAGATAGGAAGTAAACAGAAGCTGCGCCTGGAAAATTTCCCAAGAGCTTGCAACTAATTCTGAGAACGGGAAGACCCCAGTGTGACAACCCCGCAGCCCGAAGTTTTCGCATCAAAGCCAACTACATTAAATCTCATTCGATTTGAGCAGTCGCTTCTCAAGGATGAGAATCAGCTAATAATCGGGTGATGTATCGTGTGTGGAAGTTGATGATGCATTCAGTGGGGAGAAACCATCCCCGGAAATAGCGCCGGTATCTCGGGTGCGAACCATTCGATTCCAAAGGGGAAGATTAGTGTCCTTTTTCGAATACAATTGTGTCAACTCCTTGGATCTTTTCCAGTTTAGCTTTCCATTGTTTCCTTCTCAGTCTGTACATCAGAGCAAAGTTACCATACGAGTCTGGATTCATGACGGTACGTTGCCAAAGTTTTAGCCGGGGACCGACCAGCGAGTTGCGATTTGGTTCCTCGGTGAATAATCCGTCTTGTTCTTCGCTGCCATGTGTATCGACACCTTCAAGCAAGCTGATGGCCACTTTACGTCCCTCTGGCAGCCCATTGGTAGGGTATTCAAAGTTTTGAGATGAAAGGTCTCTAACATGTGCTAGCTGTGCATTGCCAGTTGTTAGAGTCGGGATAATATATAAAAGAAAAGGGAAGCAAAAGGTTTACCTCGTGAATGATAGTCACCATAGGTAGCGCAGCCAGCAACTGCAAACCCTTGAAAGTGTCTAATTGGAGGCCGGAAAGACCCAGGGCTGTCCAGGGCATACTTTTCTCTGTCCTAAATTGGAAGAAGGTGTCACAAAACTGCAATGCTCTCAGCACCTTCCCGCCTTTGTATTTTACTAAGACTTCTTTTCAACACTTACACGAATGATATGTCTATTTGTCTTCTGTTCTTGGTCTACTTTGTATGGAAAGGGCCCGAGAGTGACCCCTGTACATAGGGGGTCGGCCCAGCACGCACCATCTCCCATTATGTAGATGTCACTGTCAACGCATAAAAATATTAGCAGAATTTCATGGAGAGGCTGAAAAGGGTAAGGAGATGCAAACAATGTTGCAAAAGTTGCCAACAAACAGCAGTCATACTGTGCAGCCAAAATATTCCCTAGTTCGCTACCTAAAGCATGAGTCTTTGGAAGATGAGAATTACTAACTGCTAATTAACTCTTAGATCTCCTTGATATTGGGCGGGCGAACGAGTACGCTTTCGCCGTCACCAAAGACAATCACGAAACAATCCTAGACGCAAACTACACGCAATTCATCTCGGACCAACTTGCAGAAGACGTACTAAAATGTCCTGCGGAGCAAGATGCGGAAAAGCGCTGGCTCCAGACAGGCATCCATCCCTCTCCACGCGCCGCCCTCGACGATGGACGAGTGCAATGTGTGGTCGCTACCTTCACGATGCTAGTACGGGTGAAAGGCGTTATGGATCATCTGTTTGCGCTTAAGTCGGGCACACCACCGGGCGCAACGTGGAACCCCAATTACAATGAGATAGCCAGCATGCCAAAATTTCAGGATTTAGAGGCTCAACGAGCATTTGAATTGGTGCTTCCCTCGGCCGCAGAGCTGATACCACAGTTCATCGGACCCCTTGCTGACAATGCCGTCTTTATCATTACTGAGATGAGTGTCATGCTCGTGAGCGCCACCGTCGCTTATCACCAGGCAAAGCTATTCGGAAGTACCCTTAAGCGGCAAGGACTTCGAGGGACGTTGCATAGGAGTATGTGTTGCCCAAATCTCCAAATATTTTCTTTCTCTCCAACTCTATATGCTAAAAATTCTATTAGCAGAGGAAAGGTGATGGAAAATACCATGGGTACGTATAGAACAAACGTGACGCACTGTAAATGCTGGCTGATGGTATCACAGTTGTTCTTGCGATGTTGGACCTAAGGTGCATAAACATTTCGAATCGGAAGAAAGTCACAAAGCTCTTCAAGAACTGGTAAGTGATTGAATCCAGTTCAGGGACAAGACTCCCGAAAAAAAAAAGAACAATATCTTATTCCGATATCACGCAGGTTAAAGCAGGCGCATGGGAACCAGAGCCACCACCGCCGCCCGAGATAGAAGAGGAATTAGCTTGCAGTAACGAGAAAGAGCCCAAATTCTGGTATGTTCACTGGGAACAAATGGCCCGCAGGATCCCCGAGTTCTGCGAGCAAGTGGCCAGAGAGTATGGTGAAGGCCATTTCTGGAGCGAGCAAACGTACAACGACGGGACAGCAGACGACATGAAGTTTGAGGTAGAACACAACCCCCACTTTCCGTTATCGGCCGATCAAGTCGGAAAAGATTGCGACCATTTCTTTCGAAAGATAATGAATGAGTGCGACGTTGAAGAGACTTTCAAACATGGAGGAGAGATGATCTTGACGGAAGGCGACGAGCAGAAAGTCAGATACCAAGTATACGGCCGCCATACACGACCATATGGTGTTCCAGCTCCCTTGGCAAAGTGTGACCTTTGGTACAAGGGCTGGCATAACGAGGTTCGTCTCCGTGGGGCGCTTTGGGCAGGCCATGACCATGGCCAAGACCATCTACTTGGTAAACTGGGCAAGTGCGGGGCAATGACATTCTGGAAATTTGAATACTACGATGCTCCGACTCCTGAGGGCTGGGAGTGGATTTCGACTTTTAATTGTCCTGTTGGCGCTCACCTGTGGGGTTGTACACGTTCGGCAATGATTGCAGCTGGCGCACCCGATGATTTCAAATGCGGAGGACATTAGAAGACTCCTCCAGTGCCACTTGAGAAATAAGAATGAAGAGTTGTTTAGCCTCTATTGTTTTTGGGGTGCGTCCAACGCACCTAGTCTCGTTAATCATCAATGCATTGTATCTTTGACTATGTCATCGCCGCACCGTAGAATACCAGTTATATCAAGGTATTACCGATGGAGTATTAGTCGTCTGGCGGACAAAGCCGAGTATTAAGTGGGCAGGACTTAGAAGACTACATTCTATTTGTTATTAAGCGCTTGAGTGGCATCAATCAGAGAACAGGGAACATGCCGATTGATCCAGCTTTTTTCTATGGTACTTCTATTCTCAGCTGAAGTTGACTCCCGCGATGAGAATCATTAGTGGCATGATGAACACAGTGATCTTGTCTCAGGGTGCGCTGGATAGAAGCTCCCATCGCCATGACATCAATGCCGTGTCTGTATACGAATTCTATCGTCGCGCTGGTAGTTGGTGCTAACCAACGATCTGACTGCGAAAAGCAACTCCGTGTTACGGACTGTAACTACTGAAAGATTCTTGTTTTTCTTCTTCGTATCAAGCAGTTGTATTGACTCGTATCGAAGCGCAATGACGCACTTTACTCCACCATTCTGTGAGCATTCTCACCGCCACTACCATCGTCGCTGCTGCGCGCATAGTCGAGATGCGTGCTGATGAGTTTGTTATGTAACAATTGAACAGATGTTGAAGCCAAAAACCTGCTTTTGACGCCGTATGTGAGAATTGAACATCTCAGAAGGAGCAGAGAATGGCCTGATGTGTTGTTGCTTTTACGGACTGTGCTTCTCCGTTGCATTGGATAAATGAATGCTTGGCAAACAAACATGCATCCCCGCCTCCCGAAAGAGGCTGTGGCTTGGGGGCCCCTGGCGATCTAACGAATCTGACAGGAAACTTGTCGGGTTCTCCGCAAACAGCTATGCAGCTAATTCGTATAATATGCACTCTCCGGCAGCGCCCGCGATCGTCAAAGTCTTTCTCGATCGAAGCAGAATGTGACCTAGACGGAATAATCTAGAATGATCAATTTCCCATATTGTCCCCATTACCCAGGTACTAGCGTCGCTTCCAGCTATCCAGCTATCCAGGCATCGGATATGCATGCATGGGCATCGTATCTTTGGAATCCGATGAGAAACGCATCGGAATGTGGAAATCGCTCCAACAGAGCATAGTATGGGCGGGGGGATATTGTGGGATGATCGGAAGGGATCACCAACGTGTGCACATCGAGCGCAATCTTTCCGCTTTCCTATCAAACATCAATTGCTTTTGGTCGCCTTCATATTCGCTCATGGGTTCTTGGGGACGAGGACGAAGCACAATGTGGCTTGAGGGAAGTAACACAATATGACGTTGAATACGGTCTTTGTACCACGCAACGACGTCAACGTGCACCGGTTAAGCAATATGAATCCATCGTCTCTCGTGATCTCGTATCACAAACGCCGTCGAACAACATCGCGAAAGCAGAACTTCAGCTCAATCCCCAGGTTCATATTAATAACCTGTGAATGGAAGAGCGACTGACGATCATGACTGGCTGGACTTGTCGCTTGGCACTCTCTATGGCTTCACTTTCTGCATATTGCATCGTGAACTTGCATTCTCGGTAGTGCCACTCCGCTTCACAATAGCTAGCGGGCCAAGTTTGTAGCATTTCCCTCAGCTGAGCAGTGAAACTGGGTCGTCCAGAATATCTATATAAACCCCCAGAATCACGCAATTGAGATTCACTATTCGACAATCAGCAGGTCAACTCTCATCCTCAAGCAAGCAACCAATCATTTTCAAAAGCTTCTCGCTTCTTCATACTACTCAATCGCTCAGATTACCCTTCTACTCAATCAAAATGCTTGCCAAATCCATCATCACCTGCGCCCTCGTCACCGTCGGCTCTGCTGCCGTTGTTCGCCGCACTGGCACCGACCCCACGCCTACCGACCCCAAGCCCACTCCCGAGTCCTGCTCTACTCGCGACGACGGTAATACGTCGCCCAAGTACTGCCCCAACCTCGGCGGAATCGGAATCACCATCCCCGTTCAGCTTTGCAGCATCAGTAAGTTACATATGCCCCCCGATCTTCAAGCATGGTTTAGGTTTCTAACTTGATTGTAGTCGCCGATGTTACTCTTGGTCTCAATGTTTTGTCCTGCTGCGGCGAGGAATCTTGCCTCACTATCGACATCCTCTAGATTGGTTTCCCGTGAAAAGGAACTTCGTCTACCGAGAAGGCTCTTCCATTGATAATCTCACTTGCCTGATCACTAGGCGCCTGATGGACGGGTTGGTAAGGGGGCTGCTGGGGAATGAGAGTACACATATGAAACAGGGGAATTTTCATGTATCGCCTGGTATGATCTTTAGTAGTGATGGATTTTCATTGATTTGAGATTTGGTGCATTTTGTATCTTCCTGTCTTTACAAATCAATATATCTGTTTTGGGCCCAATGACTATCATCTAATGAGTGTTTTTCGTGATTTGCGTTTAGCCCACTTGAGGAACTCTTATGATCTGTATGAGTTTGGACGCACGCCACAGAACAAAGCTCAGAAGTAAGAAGGAATTGATTGTGAGGAGATCAATGTGATAGCTATAATAGAATAGGATGGATAGTCGCATTCACAGCCATCGACACTTCGGCACCCCAAACAATCCTTTTCTTGTTCAACCCGATACACTTCCGAAGAAGCAGAGTCTCTTGCACAGTCCACGCTCTCATACCAAGGGTGCTTTGGAATATATATCACGAATCTTGGATGTCTCGCGCTTCCAATCTTCCATATCATCTGGATGATGCACAATGGTACTCAATTGCAAAAGGCAACAAATCTCATCATGGAATGTTTGAGGTAGGTCGTCATAGGTGGTTCCGTTGGTGTATGCCTCTACCCACGTCATTGAGACCTATCCTCGGCTACTGCTTATAGTCAGTTGCAGGGGCGGAAGAAGCATTACGCGGTAGCTAGTCCGATCTTATCTCCTCTTAACCTGGCGGCGGATGTAAACACTGATCTCGGCGGGATAGTAGAAGAGTAGGATCAGTCCTGCCGAACGCTTCCAGGCTAGGAAAGCGGAGCTAACGCTTCTAGGTTGGTTCTCCGCACGTGATCGTTGAAAGATCTGGAGAAACGGGTTGATTGCGGGGGTTACGCGATGCCTATTCCGGTAACAATCGCACTCCATGCAAGGCTCAACCACGCCTAGCAGGCTTTGACGGCATGGAAACTGTGGATCCCAAGAATCGCATTGGATGTATAAAGATGCGGTTTTTACCTGTCGCTGGTAAACAGTAGCTTTAGTTGCTTGCTGACTGTTCTCTATCCCGTCGGCCACTATGATGTTTACCTACCGTCTGCTCGGCCTCGCGCTGACGCTCGTAACATCAGTTCATGCTTCATCGCACTGCTCGGTTGAAGATCTCAGTAATTTCATTTCTCAGAATGACAACGCTGAGGTCTTAATGGCCCAGTCTATCAGCAGCAATGGCAGTTTTGGAGAGGTGGGAAATGTTGCCTATCCCAAGAATGCGACATACTTGCCCTCCCTTTGCGTCGCGACAATAAACGTGACGTCTTCTCCGACCTCATCGTACACGTTTGGTGTTTTCCTCCCGGATGACTGGAATCAACGATTTCTCGCTGTCGGCAACGGAGGATTTTCCGGAGGCATCAACTGGTATGCCATGGGCACAGGCGTCAAGTACGGTTTTGCAACCATCTCCACATCAACTGGTCACAACTCGACAGGCCAGGACATGAGTTGGGCAATCGGAAACCCGGAAACGAAAGCGGATTGGGCTGGGCGCAGTTTGCACGGGTCAACGGTTCTAGCTAAACAGATCGTGGAACAGTACTACGGGAGCGCAGCGAACAAATCCTACTACTCAGGCTGCTCAACGGGAGGTCGGCAAGGTGTCAAGTCAGCGCAGGACCACCCAGAAGACTTTGATGGGATTCTGGCCGGCGCTCCAGCGTGGATGTCCACAAGCCAGCAGCTTTGGCAGCTCAAAGTCGGCGCCATCAACCTTCCTGTTGATGGACCAGGATACCTCCCAACTGCTTTGTTCAGCGTCATCAGCCAAGAGGTCCTACGACAATGCGACAAGTCTGATGGTATTTCTGATGGAATCATCATGAACCCTAAGCACTGCAACTTCCGACCAGAGAAATTACTCTGCGCCCCCACCCCAGCTAACCAGTCAGCATGTCTTACAGCCCCGCAAATATCGACGCTCAAGCAGATGTACCTACCACTAATCCAGTTCGACGCAGACGTCAACAATCTGACATATCTCTACCCCAACTTCGGCCTCGGATCCGAGCTTCAAATGCCAGCCTCGTTCGGCACAAACAACGAACCGAGTCTATACGGCACAGACTACGCAAAGAACTACATTTTCGATGATCCAGATTGGGACTGGCGAATCAGTTTCAACTACTCCACTTTCGTCGAGGCAGGAAGACTCAACCCCGGAAACGTCAATGCGGACAACTTCGACTTGTCTGGTTTCCACAGCCGCGGAGGCAAACTGATCACGTATCACGGTTATGCAGATGGTCTTATCCCCACGGATGTTAGCCAAGTGCTTTACGATGAGACGTACATGGCGATGGCTCAGCAGGGCGTCAATCTAGACGAGTTCTACCGTCTTTTCTTCGTTCCGGGGATGCAGCATTGTCAAGGGAGCGTGTACGACGCCCCTTGGTATTTTGGTGCCAGCGACCATGCATCGAACCTAGAGACAAATGGCCAGCATAAGTTTCCTGTTCCTGGGGTTGACGATGCGAAGCACGATGCGTTACTTGCTTTGGTTGCGTGGGTGGAGGGCGGACAAGAGGTGGACCAACTGGTTGCAACCAAGTACGAGAATGACACAGTTAGTAATGGGGTCTTGCGACAGCGTCCGATATGCAAGTATCCCGGTTTTGCGTCGTGGGATGGGGAGGGAGATGTGAATGTTGCTTCTAGTTGGAGCTGCGTTGGGTATGATTCGTGAGAAGCATTAGGCACAACACGTGGCTGGAGTAAACGTATAATGAAAGTAGGTATCCAATCAAAGTATTGCAGAATGAAACATGTTCTCGCAGTCGACTCAATGTCAACCAACAATCTAAGCCCGAGACCTACGAAAGCTGAAACCCTACGACTAGCCCCGCTCTTAATCTACGCTCTCGAACCCCTTCGCCAACTCCAGAATAATTTCGCAAAATTTCTCGGGATGCGAAAGATGGGGAGAATGGTCACTTTTGATATCCTTGACAACCCACTCTGGTCCCTGTGCATTCTCAATCGACATCGTTTGCACAAAAGCCGGAATAGTGGTATCATTCGCCGTCCGAATATACGCAACGCGATTCTTGAAAAACTCACTATCCCACGATGCCCTCGGAACCGGAGTATAAAAAGACTCCAGTCCCTGCGGCAACGTAGATCCAGCCGCCGTACTCGCCAGAATCGAGGGTACTTCCGGGTACAATACCGGAATGGGGTTGTCGCATCTAATCACATTTGCCTCACGCTGTTTTCGAAATATCAACTCAATCTCCGATTCTCAATCGAGTATCAAACACGTACATCAGGTTTCAAGAACGGCGGAAAACTCCCACCCGTAGCAGTAGAAACGTCCGTCCCATCCCCACCTTTCTGCAACATGGCAGTAAAGAAAATCTGCCCAACCACACCGCCTTTTTTGCCTTGCGCGGCTCTTTCGCGCTTCGAAAGACCTAGTGCGGCTGCGCTGCCTGGCACACCGCCGTACGAATGCATGATTAGGATTACATCTCGTCCTTCTAGCTCGAGGAAGGGGAGGATCATGCGGTCTCGAATGAAGGATGTGTCATCTTGGATTGAAATTTTGCCTCCGTTTCCTACGGATGGGAGGAGTGCTGATGAGGTAGGATAGCCAGCGGATTGTAGGAGGTGCGCGAGGTATCCGTAGTGGGTGGGGTTTTGGGAACCACCTGGGATTATGAGGAAGACTGGGCGAGTTGAGGTCATGGTTGGCTGCGGTAAGTCGTCGTAGTTAGAGACTGCGAAGATATTGAAAAGGAAAGATTGGAAGATGAATAGCAGGAGCTGAGTGATGTTTATTATAAAGAAGAGAAGGAACTTCTAGGCGCCCAACCGCGCCGCGTTACGCCTCGGCGCTGACCAACCCGCCGCGATAAGATTCCGCACTTTGAAATACTCTTAGCCATCGACTTGGAAGTAAAGGCAGACTTCCTGCACTTAGGTTTGAAGAGTATAGGTAACACAATGATACGCCTTATCATAAAATTAGTCGACCTAGTTTGCCACCACGGGCTTCGTTGCATGATCTCAGAGGTCCGCGATACAGGTTGTACACTGGCAAGCTTGGTTTCTTGATTTTCATAATGTATAATGCAGGATCTGACATGAATGATAGCCTATACGATAATGGTGGCGAGGCATCCCGCTTGAGGGAGAGAAGTAAAAAAAAAAGTCTGGATGGGGGAAGCCATCGCTCCCCGCAGATGCATTCATCTGTCGCACGAGATTATATTAACTTCGTCTCAGCCCAAAGAATATCTACCCAACTACCACATTATCATTCCCAAAGAACCCCGCACCATCCTTCGTGGTGGCATTCAATCTTTCTAAGATATACTCTCCCGCGCCAATCGGTGGATATTGCGGTTTTTCACCCTCCTTCAAGCAGGTTGACAACGTCTCAACGACTTCTTCGTAATTGATCGAAAAGAAGAAAGGTACACTGTACCTCACCTCATTGCTTCTATTCACGACACGATGAACAGTCGACTTGTAAACCCCGTTCGTCCACCGCATGAGGAAGTCCGCGACGTTGACAATGAAAGCGTTGGGTATGTAGGACGCTTGGTGCCATTTCCCGGAAGGTTTGAGGATTTCCAGGCCTGGGGTGCTGGATGAGAGGAGAAGAGTGAAGCATTCGTAGTCTGTGTGAGCACCTAGACCAATTTCTTCCTCCTTCGATGCGGATTGCGCTGTCACATCTGATTTTGGCGCTGGGTAGTAGAGTAGGCGGGCGATACCGCCGGGGTGCGTAGTCATGTGATCGAAATGATTTTCGGGGAGATCTAACGAGAGGGCAAAGAGCCTGAACAAATGGCGTGCCAGTTCCAAGACCTAGATGAATCAACTTTGGAGGTCACGTGAAACGGTAAACAGGGAAGACTAACGGCGCTGTAATACTCTTTAACACCATTGTAAAACCCTGGCAAATCTTCTTCGTTCGGCCATAAATTCGCTTTGCCTTCGCTTCCATCTAGATTACGATACTTTCCATCTCCACCCGTCTTGTCCAGCCCTGCCTCATATCCAAAGTTCCACCCTTCTTTTGTCTCAACGTCCCCTGCGATAGACGTGTACTCGCTGGGCTCCCACCCATAGCCGTACTTGCTCTTCTTGATATGCAGGTCTTGTTTCTGCTCTTTCGTGAGTTCTGTGTAGAAACGCTTTGCTTGGTCGAGAATCTTCTCAAGAGTGGGGGTGGGGACACCGTGGTTCGAAACGTAGAAGAAGCCAGATGTGGTGCATGCTTGTCGAATCTGCGAGGCTACGGCCTTGCGTGCGTCCAAAGAATCAGTAAATGAGGCGGACAGGTCAATGACAGGAACTTCGAAGTCCGAGTCTGTGATATCAGTCCTGGGGGCGAGGCGCGACTCTAGGTAATTCGTAGAACGCGCTTCTTGCTTTGTGATTGAGTCCATGCTTGATGGCACGATGGGAGGTTTTGCTACCAATGAATCACTTGGTATTTTGAGGGTATTTATGTGTTGTGAGAATCAGAGAGGCTGCGATATCGGTATGATAAGGTGATATGGCGGCGATTGATTTACCTAACTGCTCACAGTGATGACCTCCGAATAGCAGGCGGCTGCACTTTCCTATTATGAAAATTAGCCGAGGGCGCTAGTGATATAATCACGTGACACCTCCCCGATGAGGACGTCGCCAACGTTCAACTCGCACCATGACCACGACAAGACAGAATTCTCGCTGCACTTGCTCGACTGAAAGCCGGCACGGGCGTACGTCTTCAGCAATGGCGGAGGTAAGTAGTTGTCACTTGCTCAAAGACTTCCAAGTGTTCTTGCTAACAGCATTCGAATCACAGGACGCTACAGATCCGGTCAGCCAGTCGGCCAATCAGACTGATCGGACCGAACGGGTCGAGGATGAAGAGACAAGCAAGAAGAAAATGACCATTCTTGATTCTGATGGCGATCTGGAGGTCAAATGTTTCGACCAGGCTACCCAGGCGACCACATCATTTCTAGTGTCTAGCAAGATACTTCAATTGGCGTCCCCGGTTTTTAGATGCATGTTCAAGCCACAGTACAAGGAAGGACAGCAGCTGCTCCAAGCAGATCGACCGGCCGTCGTACTCGAGGGCGATGATGCGCCCTTGATGGAGACGATATTCAAAATCCTACATCATGGAAGTGATATTCGGACGACAAACGTCGATCCCAGAACACTCGTTCGTTTGGCGATTATATCAGACAAGTACGATCTCACCGAGACTTTACGGGTATGGTCTGCTTTCTGGTTCCGCCTGATCCCAGACAACGATGCAACTTCCGAAGAGCTCGGGTTTCTACTTCTGGCGTCATGGCTGTTCAAAGACATGCAAAAATTCAAGAACGTGTTCGCACTTGCAGTCTGGAAACTGCCTCTGGGATTCGAGAAGAAATGGGCAAAGGAAGAGCTCTTGGATATCATTCCTGAACATCTAACCAGTAAGTGCAGCCCATCTCAAATGCTATACGTAAAGCTGATCTGGCAAAGTGGTAATGAACCGGGAAATCAAGCAAACACTGAATGATCTCGAAATGCTACTCCAAACAACTCCGGCTTTTTTGCGCCAAGGTACAGGTGCATGGGAAACTCAGATGATGGCTTGCAGTGGATGCAGCAGAATCCATCCCGCCGCGGCTAAGACGTGCCATCCATGTAATAACAACCACCTGCAAAAGAAGCTTTGCAACACCGATTCTCGTCTTGTTGAGTTCTTTCTCGCTCTTGAAGCACAGTCTCTGTGAGTGGAATTCTGGATCTATACTAGATAGCACACATTTGCTATGCTGAAGACTCGTGGGATGTTTCTCTGGATTGTGCTGACCTATCCTCCAAATCACAGATGGCCCATGGTTCAGCAGTTCGATATATGCTCGCCCATTCAAATCGCGAACCTGATTGCAAAATTGAATTTCGACAAACACGTTTGCGGTGCGTCCCGCGCATGCCCGTTGCAAACTTGTCTGGACACGATAAAGTCAAGAATGAGTATCGCTAGGGATAATATCAGGTCGAGGTTTTGTTTGCAGTGCATCAAAGAAGGTGGTTCTGGTGATGATGGACAGTGCTGCACTCACAAGCAAACCTGATATCTCTAAGAGAACACTTAGCTTAAGTGAAACTGCAACTACCAAATTCATCTTTTCGTCGACGTCAGACGATGGGAGAAGATATTTGAGTTAAGATTCGGAGTCGAGCTTTTCAAATCTCGTACCTGCGACTGCATTCGCTGTATGCGACATGGTTTGTAGGTGGAAAAACTGCGCGTGATAGTTCGAAGTTTGCTCTAATCACGTTCGAGTCACAGGCGATGCATCGCATCAATGTTGAACTCGATCAAATGCGCTCTTAATTTCTCTGAAAGAAGTGCTAGACTGAGGAGATATCGAGAATTCAAAACTTTGGAATGAAAAGAGTTTGTTCGTACGTTTCTTCGGCATCGAGACCTCGTTTTCTGAAATCAGCTGCCATCTTACGAAACGCCGTCCATCTCACACAGCTTCACAATACCTTGTCATAATCTCATGACACGAGCGGAAATGAGTTATGAGCCCATCCTTAACAGTCTCCCGACGAGGATACTCAAGAGCAATGTCCGAAACCATACGAAACAGCGTCTCCTTAGCTTGTGGCTCTCTCCAAACCTTGGGAATCCCTTGACTATCACCCTTCCCACTCCCCTTTTGCTTCTTGCTTCTGCACAGCTAAAATCAGCCCTCTCGTGAAAGAGAACCATAGAATACAAATTAGGATCATATCAACCGCTTGCATTCAGATCCTGCTACAGCTTAGAACCTTCTTGCCGCCTCCTCCAATTTTCTGCATCCTGCTTCGCCCACTCCCTCAGCACTTTTCGTTGAATCTTACCACTTGGAGACTTCGGAACTTCATCAATGAACACGACGCCACCCGAAAGCTGCTTGTGTTTTGCCACGCGTCCAGCGACCCACTTTTGAATATCCCATTCAGATGACTCACGTTTGTGTTCCGTCTTCAGTGCAACGTACGCACGCGGGAGCTCCTCGTGCTCACTTCGCTTCAAGTTAGTTACGCACCAAAAAAATAAAATAAAAATGAAGTGGGACACAACTGACAGTTGTAGCGCACAGACAGCCGCATCCGCCACGTGCTCATGTTCCAGCAGCAAAGCCTCGAGCTCTGCAGGCGCAACCTGAAACCCCTTCACTTTGATCAACTCTTTCTTCCGGTCTACGATCCAGAATAAGCCGTTTTCGTCTCTGATAGCGATATCCCCTGTTTTTAAAAATCCCTCATCGTCGAATGTTTCCTGCGTCGCTTTTTCGTTTCGCCAGTACCCCATACACACGTTCGGACCTTTGACGTGAACCTCTCCTCTTTCGCCTACACCGACTTCGCGCCCCTCGTCATCGATGAGCTTCATCGTCGCGTTGGGATCGATATACCCCACAGACCCCGATCGGTCGTCCCGCCCACCCGGTACATGCAGAGACGAGCAGGTAACCTCCGTCATGCCCCACGTCTGCACGACCTTCAGATCGCATTTCGCCGACACTTCGTTTTGGAGTTCTTTGGAGAGGGGCGCTGCGCCGCAAAGTATGTTCCGAAGAGACGACAGATCGTACCTGCTAGTTTCCGGCCGCTTCGCTAGCATGACTAGCACTGGCGGTGCCGTTTGAATATGCGTGATGCGATGATTCTGGATATTCTCCAGGAATCTGACATAGTTGAACGATCGCATGAAATAGCACGGGCTCAACGTTCGTGCAGCAGCGACAATCGACCACAATTGCCCGTACGCGTGATACAAAGGCAGGAACCCGAGCCACCGTTCCTGAGGTCTAGAGTCTGGGTTATACGACTGTTCTAGGTCGCGCATGAAGATGCTTTGCTCGACGTTGGCGATTACATTTTGGTGGCTGATCATCACTCCTTTTGGTAGACCGGTTGTTCCTGATGAGTAGTTGAGGGCGGCGACGGTGGTGCGCGATTGTTGTGGGCTGAGTGTGTTCCATGTCCAGGTTTCGGCTTTGGATGCGGGAGGGAGGATGGTTCGCCAATCTTCGATGCCGTCGATTGTACCCGTTTGCTTATCTGCGAATAAGAAAATCCGGTTCCGCGGGAACTTGGTTTTTGATGCTGCGGCGAGTAAAGAAGGGAGAAGGGCTGGCTCAACCAAGATTGCCTTGCAAGTTGTGTTTTGTATCTGAAAGACGGTTTCTGCGCCTTCGTTAGTGTTGCTGACTTCATCTCTACACCCTGGGATCCTTACCTTCAACGCCATAAGCAGGATTGCATCCACTGTATATACACCCCGCTGCTGAGATTCCAAAGTAAGCAACGGGCACAAAGATATGGTTAGTCGAAAACATCATAACCACATCCTGCCTTTCTAACCCGAGTTCCTGAAGCCCAAGCCCAAGTCTCTTCACCCATCCCAGCAGTTGTTTTGGAGAAAGCGAATTCTGGGTATCGTCTGCATCAATCCATATTGGTTCATTGGAAATAGGTCGAGATGGCGGGAATAAGTAGGTAAGTAGATCAGTCTGAGGAATGTCTATTTGGAACGGAGAATGAGTCGGCATTGTGACTGTAGAAAAGCGATTTAGGAACGAAGTGGACCTGGGACAATGCCATAGCGAATGACTTAATGAGGCTGTTCGATTCGCTTGCTGGCGTCATCGTATAGGTACTACAGCCGAGGTGTAACTAAAGTGTGGGGGTGCGCTTGGACCATCAGTTCATTTGTGGGGAAAATTGTTCAAGAGTAACGGAGACGCAGCAGTTGCATCGAGAGGAATTATGTTCAAGTGAGACTTGGAATCCGCGAGATCTAAACCTCTGCAGTGACATCTGGACAAGCTCTTCTTACTGGTGATTGGAGGGTATTCTACAGAGGTTGCAGGGCGCCCCAAGTGGATGGCACTATGGGTCATGAATCACTTTCATGTTGCAAATGGCAGGTAAAGTGACAAATGGAGCGAGTCATGGTGCAAGAAAGTATTATAGTGAAATCCATTGATAGAGAAAATGTTTGTTTTTGAGATATTGTTTAGAGAGGGAGTTACCACCGGTGAACGCCAAAACCGCAACGGCTATCGTACCCAAAAATGCTGATTCATTGTCAGTCCTACCAATTCAATCAATTCCAGTAGGAGGTGTCCAACTCCTCGCCCAAGGTAGCTTCACCACCGCCTTGCGCAAGAATTTTGCGGACCGAGACCCCAACCACGTCGTGCTTGCTGTTTGTCAGCACCTCCAAGCCGCTGTCCCTTCTCTTTCCGTCAGTGCTAAATCCACTGACTTCTCTGACCACTTCCCAGTTATCGTTTCCTCTGTCTATCAAGCCCGCACGCCTGTAGCTTGCGTTTGTGACAATGCGAGCGCCAACCACGAACCCAGCTTCGGGGTTCTCTTTCAACCACTGCTTGGCCTCGTCGGATTCGAGGGCCTTCTTCAAAGAAGCAGATGGATCTTTCAGCAGCCGGACGTATTGCTCTGGAGCCTCGATGGTGCCAGCCTCGTTTCCATCCTCAGGCTTCTTGATAAAGTGGGTGGCACCGAGGGACTGCAGAAAGCGACCGGATTTGGAGTCGAAGACAATCACGTCTTTGTACCAGCGTGAGCCGACATCGTCGTAATCGCGATCCTCCAACGTTGGTGGATTGAACTTGGAGCTCTTGGAGACCAATTGGCCGACGGGCAGGGCGTCTGGCGCTAGTGGCTGGGGAAGGATCGTGAGCTCTTTGTACGCAGATACAGGAGCATCATCAGAAGAGAGACGTCGTGGGTGGTGCATTTTGAACGAGGATGGACAGTGAGGTAGTCTATGAAGACGACACGATAGAACAAAACAGCAAAGATGCTGGTGAGGTGGTGTTCAGTGAAAGAAGTTCACGAAATGCGGGGAAATAATGAAGCTGAGATGAGCTGCTGCAGTAAGTGAGGGGTTAACCTTTGGGTGATATCATGGTGGCTTTCTGTACCACCATCGTCAATGATTTACCCGCCTTGCGCGAATATTGTTCATGATCACGCTGCATTGATTGGATCAAAGTGGTGCCTGGATGTGCTGAGCCCAGGGATCGTGTGTAGTGAGGATGAAGATGGTGGTGTGATGCATCACGTCGAACGAGAGATGAGAATGTCGTGCGATCACCTAGGGTCACGTGAGCGATGCTGTGCAATGGCACGTGCTGGCGGGCCACGTGCAGATAATTATAGATCGCTTAGGTAATCCTCAACAGACCACCCCTTGCAAGCACACAATTCACGTCTTTCTTCATCCCTCCAAATGATAAATCACTGGACTATCATAGATAACCGATCGAGAGGAATTCCTGATTTGACGAGGGTTGATGGAACAGTGCACTTCGCTTGGGAGTCGAATATGATGTCCAGGCGAGTGTTTGGCGAGCGAGCTGGCATAGCACAATGTGCCCAGTACTGCCTGCGAAAATTGCCTACGATATATTGGGATGCCACGCTGAAGCCGTATTATGATCAATATTGGCTATCTCAGTGACAGTTTAGGGGAGCATTGACAAGTGCTGTTGAGAGGGTGCGAAGTAAGTTTCTCAACAGTTCCGAGAAGCTGACTACTCTTCACAAATACTAAATGAAAGTTGTATCGACCTTCACCTATTGTTTGCCACTGTCTCAAATCTTCAATGGAATCAAGAATCATCAAAGCTCTATACATTGATGATTGCTCCGCAGAAGGAAATGGAAACAAACCACTTCACAGCATACAGCATTACGGATTTCGTGTCACATAAATTCGGCAACTACATCTTTCCAAAGGACCATATTTTTCTTCTCTTTCTCCCTCCACTATACACTGGTAACTTATCACGATAACTTCTTTGAACATCTCAACCAAATTCGTCAATCATGTCCTCTACACCGCCAGTGGCTCGTGGAAAAGCTGTTCAAAATACTTTGTATCACCTGGACCGCATCTTAGACCGCATAACAGAGATTACGACAGACATTGCCATCCTACACGATAAAGCTGAGAAGGCGATTCTGAAAGCGGACCGCGAAAAGACCACTGCAGAACTTAAAGCTTTGGTCGAAAAGCTAGATGAGCATTACGAGGAGCACCAAGCATCCGTACGCAGTATTGATATCAACGATATGATCGCTTTCTACAGGGTCGCGGGGAGGACCGAAGAACAGGCACGCAAGGAAGTTGAGGATGATTTTAATGGGGTAAAGGCGATGGTGGATGAGATGAGGCGGTGCGCGAAGGAGGCCTTGGCGGATGTTGTGTACGAAGAAATAGGAACGCCGTTGACTGAAAGTGAGATTAGTTTCTCTAAGATCTAAAATATGCGCAGTCTCCGCAGATATCAAGATTCAATCCACACTCTGTGTTCCTTACGAGATCGTCCTAGTATTAGTGCATGTACGAATTCTGATATGTTTGCGATGCATCATCTTTAATATTTGGTTGTGCTATCAATTGGCATTTCTCCAGAAAACCTTCGAAATCACCAAATAAAAGCGAATCTTTATTTATCATTTGTTCTTCGACGTCTTCTAGTGACCTGAAGCTACAATTCTATGAGATGTGGGACGGAATGTCGATCGCCTGGCGCGAATCACCGGGTCGCCGATCCTACATAATCGTATACCCGCAATTTGTATCGCATCGGCCACTGGCGGTGCATTAGCATAATAAGTAGAACGCTTTCACCAGCGCTCCCACTAGATGTCTAAACATTCAGGTAGAGGCTTATAGGGAGAATTATGTGCTGGGCATCATACGTGATCAGTTGGCTATGAGTTCGGCCGATCGTATGCAGATCGGCCGAGCCGCCTGTAGAGCTAGTAGATGCCCACAGTCCAAATAAGAATAAGCGCGCATCCTTCAACGTAGAAGTCAGCTATGACTACACGATTTCTAGCTGTCAACACCATCATGAACACATGAGTGCTTGAATCTAACTGGCCTGAAGCTCCTATCACTGCTTAAACAGCCTCCCTTATCAACAATCAACAGTTGTGATGTTTTGTAGAATCTACTCCGAGATCAGCACTGTCAGATGTAACAGATCGGCGCTAGTTGCCTTTCTAGTCCCCAATGCCTCGAGGGGAACGGCGACGCGGGATCCCAATACGCAGGTATATAAGGGAGTCTTCCACCCACTCTGACCAACAGCCTCAAACACTACATCCACTCATCTACAAATCCTCACTCTACACACCATCATAAAAATGCCCAACCTCACAGTCCACCACCTCCAGATCGGCCAGGGCGAGAGAATCCCCTTCCTCCTCGAAGAACTCAACATCCCCTACTCCATACAACTCTACAAACGCGACCCCCTCCTCTCCCCACCAGAGCTAAAGGCCAAACACCCCATGGGCGCCTCCCCTGTCCTGGAAGACGCAACAACCGACCCCTCCAACCCGGTCATGCTAGCCGAAAGCAACGCCATCGCCGACTACATCATCCACAAGTACGGAAACGGCAGACTAGCAGTACCACCTTCCCACCCAAACTACGCAGACTACGTCTACTGGTTCCACTACTCGAACGGATCGCTCCAACCTGGTCTTTTTCGTAGAGCGCTTACCCGGGGTATGGCGTCTGGTGAAGAGGACCCAAGACTTGTCTTTACCGATAAACGCACCAATGGCTATATCGCGCATGTTAATAACAGGCTTTTGGCGACGAATGCGTACCTTGCTGGCGATGAGTTCACGGCAGCGGATGTTATGATGGTTTGGTGTTTCACGACGATGAGGAAGTTCGAGCCGATTGATTTGACAGAGTATGAGGGTATCATGGCATGGTTGAAGCGGTGTACTGCGAGGGAGGCGTACCAGAGGGCTATGAAGAAGAGCGATCCGGATCTGGATCTTGAGGCTGGGATTAGTGCGAAGGGACCTCCGATGGTGGGGATGTTTGCGAAGGCTTACGGACCGAAGAAGTAAGCGTCGCATACATAAGAATTCGTTGCGGATAAGTGCGCTGATGGGAAGATCAGGGAAAACGAGAAGCTGTGACGATAAACGCGTGTTTGTACATATACTCTCTCCAATCAAAGATATTCGATACTCTCGGCTCTACAAATGAAATTTCAAAAACTGCACTAGCAGTCGTCTTGATGTCTTACTCCACGCTCTAGAAACATCAGCGCGGCTGTACAGTGCAATATGGAACATACAAGCTTCGCCACTGTTTCATCGGCGGGGAAAACCGTAAAGCTTATTTCGTTTTGCCATGTTTCTCAGGTGTCATGTTTCGGAAAGATCCAAGCCAGGAGCTAGTCGTTCATCACATCTCCACTAATGAGCATCCATCTTCCAAAGTAAAGTGACAAGTCATAGTGAGTGGTGATATTCACATACATACTGAAATTCATAGGGAAAATGTATGAGTTTTTATGAGCACTTTCACCCCAGTTAACACCAATGCACACGCGAATTCACCTCCCTTCGTGTGGCGAAGATTCAGCCACAGGGTGCACGTACGCCAAACACGTTACAAACGCATAATATGGAGTTACGAGTTTCCATGTGTTTTGAGATCGACTCTAGAAGCCCACGGCGATCGATACAAGGGCCGCGTCTCATGTGTCCACCTGACAATATTCACAACTTGCAACACGTCTATCGTTGATGTAACCTGGTTCCAGCAATCCGGTTGGCTGAAGACGTAGTTGAAGACTTACGTACACTGTCGTATGGCCATCACGTTATCAAGCCTACTGTCGCGCACTGTCTTAAGGATTGACAGGGCTCCACCTTGTGATGAGACCTCCGACTGGGTACTGTTGTTTGGGAAGAAGGGAAAATGTACGGATTGACCAGAAATCTGCGGCATTGGTTTCCCTGAGGAGCCTGCGGGATTTATTAGGTCGTTTACGATTTGCATCAAGTCCCGTTGTGGCTTGCGATGAGATTCGAACATGCATTGCGAAGTGTGAGTGACCCACTGAGATGAGCTATATAACATTGCTGTTGCTCAACGATAACGTGATCATCAGATCTGCCGGTCAGCCTCATCTTCACAATACATCTATTCACTCTTGAATGTTTAGTCTATACGTCTTAATTCCTACCCATCAATAATCACCATTTATTAATTCTCAATCTAAATCGACCCGGTCCATACCCCGTCCGCAATAATGATGTTCAATCAAATCCTCTCCATCGCCTTGGCCCAAGCCATAACGGCCTCCGCAGCAACAATGATGGTAACAGTCGGCGCAAACAACCAATTCACCTTCTCCCCGCAATCCATCACCGCACAGCCCGGCGACATGGTAGCTTTCAACTTCGTCACGCAAAACCACAGCGTAGCCTCCTCAACTGCAAACCGACCCTGCCAGCCCGAGAAAAACGCAATCTTCTCCGACTTCCAACCCGTCGCCGCAGTCGCTTCTACAAACAACAACAATAATAACAAAGGAGGCCGCAAGGGAAAAAACAACAACAAACGCCAACAAGCCGCCCCAAACACCCCAATGTTCATGGTCCCCATCACCGACTCAAACCCAATGTACATATACTGCTCGCAGGCTCAGCACTGCCAACAAGGCATGGTGATGGTTATCAACCCGCCCAACGACGCTGCGGTGCAGCAATATGCCAATAAAGCGGCCAAGGCGAAGAACAATGTTAGTCCCAAGGGAGGCGTTTCCGGTGGGAGTGTGCAGAATAATGCAGCGGGGACTAATCCTAAGGTCGTTGCTGGGTCGCAGATGCCTGCGGGGCCTAATGGGCAGATTACAGCGCAGATTGGGGGTAAGAATGGAAATGGTAATGGGAAGGGGAAAGGGAAGGGGTTGCTTGGGTTACTTGGGAATTGAGGTCGGAGATTGTGGAGCGCTGGTCGCGTAGTTTGATATAGATTAATGTAATGCATATTCGATCACCCCAAGTTTAGTTATTGTGAGTTGTTACAGATGGGGACGTATTGCCAGTGCTCGTGTTGACAAGTATCTGACACAGGGCCTTTGGATTTCCATCGATTTGTATGACTGTGACTGGTTTCACTCAGGCATTGTGCCATATCACCGGCCTGCACCATCGTTCTGTGGTCATCGTAGTCATAGGGTGTCCAAAATGTTAGTACACAATCGAGCGTGCTGCCACGTGCAGCACTTAGATCCCTCACATAATTTCGCCTATCGGGATTCGTCTATGCATATCCTGTATCCAGAAATCTTCATGTCATGGACAGGCACGGTTGCACGAGCGAAACATTCGAGCCGCGCCGAACAAACCACTTTGTAGTGCAGGAACTGAAATGTATGTGTCACACAAGGTCGGAAGTGTGAGCCACGTTTTGCTGGTCCCACCATAGAGTACCAGGTTAACGGGACATATCATGAATCACAATATCTCAGCCGCGTCCCTGTGTTCCCGCTTCACAAAAAGGCTGGCAGGGTCGTCACACCCGCGACATTGTGTTTCCGCGCGCTTAGAATGCGGATTGGGAGCCATCATGGCGATTTCCAAAGCCACGTGACTATTTACCGATGAGTCGGAACCAACACTGAGGGTTACATTGCGTGAGTTCACGGTTAGTTCTTCGCGAACGTGTCACACCCCTCCGCAAAATGGCGCAGATACGTACGTTTAGTGGAGTATCTGTGACGCAGTCTAGATGTTCTTTGTCTATGTCCGGCACGGCATTCAATAGTCTTGATATAGTTCTGTGGCCCTTAAGCTTGACGGAGGTGTGTGATGACGATGGTGAGCGCGGCAACGACGCAGACGGCATGTTGCTAATACAATTGTCACCGCGCGTGTTTCAGGTTCCCGATTGATCAAAAACCTCGAACCGCATTTCATCTTCGTGTAAAAGTGATAGAAAATAGCGTCAAGAATCCAATATCTCGTAGAGCTCGATGAAATTCCTGTCCGTGAGGTCTCGTGTTGTCGGTCACGCAAAGAATATTGTTTCCACGGTAAGTCATTGGGTCCTCATGGGTCACACTTACTCGCCATATGCTACCAACTGTAATTGAGAAATGATACTGTCATCCCCTAAAATTTCACGGAAAACTCTTTGCAGACACCAATTTAATGTTTTGATTGACTGGGATTTACCAGTGACAATTGGAGGCGAGGTTAGCCTCAGAGTCTGATACGATACAGATGAATTATTTACATACACGCTTCCCCAAGTTCTTCTCATGGTTCTGGGTACGTCGATCAGAGCTGATAGGAGTGCTACTATAGCAATCAACTTTCTCATATGATCAAATGAGGGTGAACGCACTCGGCAAATGTCGATGCTTTTGCAAAGCGTCATAAACACCTTTATCCGAAATCTGGAAGCTAATGAACGAGACATGGTACGCAGGTTCACCTTGCGAGAATGTTGTCTGTGATAATGACGCATATCATGTCTCTACCGACTGTGATCACATGCACGTGGAAAGAGCTAACGCCGCTGTCATGTATTCCACAATCATCTCACGGACTGCAGCAGGGGCATGAGACTTGACTGCTGAGTATCGATTCAGTTTTCCCTTGCTCATTCGCACAGCAGTACTGCCAGATATCATCGATCACAATGGCCTCAAATACACGCCAGCTTGACAACACATGACAATCATGTTTCACAAGGAGCAACAACTGCTGTCCATTGGATTGGCAGCTCCACGGTATTCTCGGGATCTCGTGGTACGAAAGTGCTGTTTGCTCTCAGCTAAAGGTTGACTCACCAAGCTACGATCCCATGGTCTTCGTCCGCGCTTTGAAGCTGTCAGTGACCTTCCTTGACATCACTGGACTTATCTATAAATAGGTAAATTAGAGCCTGATACTACTTCATTCTCCAATTCAAGATCCAGACCCAAGAATCCAAAATTCATCAACGACACTTACACACAGACCACTGATATCTGATTCAGTATATTAAATCCATCAGTGTCTGTTGAAAACAATATGAACGCCGAACAGAACACTTCGTCCCAAGCAACGCCTCCGAATCATTGGAACGAATACATAAGGAAATTATTATGGAATTTGCAGGCTGAAGTCGCCGAATGGGCAGGAAAGATCGAGCAACTTTCGCAGGCTGGAATGGAAAACGCAATCGGGAATTCGCTCGATGAGATAAATCGTTTGCATAAGATCATCGACAGTACGGTTCAGAAGTATAGAGACAAAAGGGAAGCCCCCGACTTCTCATTCGACTGGTACGCTTATCTTGAGACCTGCAAGACATACGCTGGAAAAGTGTACTTGGAAACAGTGCAAGCAGAGGAGGACCACGGTTGGAACTTCAAACAAAAACAGATGGTCAATTTGATGAAGCGGAATCCGAACCTCTTCACAGAAATCAATGCATCCCAGCTCGAGGGTCTCGCTAGAGACCGTCATCTCACTAGCAGGGAGTTGGTCGGTCATGCAAGACTGGACGATCTTCTCACCCTGTCCGAACGAATGAGCCAGCTTGTAGGACCCGGGGAGAAAACGGAGACCAGCGCCCAAACCATCAGTAGCTTGAAAGCAGAAATTGAATACATTCTCCGCTCGGCATGGAATCTGCGAACGCAATATAAAATTTGCATGTCTATCTACGAGATTAATTTGGGCGAGAAAAGCGCCTACTTAGTTGATAGAGACACGGAATTAGAATCGACGCTGTGGGAAATATTCGACATGCCGAAAAGGCTTACGAACATCGATGATCTCGGACAAATCAAGCACATGAAGCAATTCCCCAAGGGCGAATCCAATAAGGCCCTGATGTTTGCAAACTTACCCGTCAAAGATAGCACGGGCTCCGTAAGTTGACAAGTTTCCAAAAGGCTTTGTTCATAAACGCCATTGAATACAAAATCGACGCCAGCTCCAACGAGCTCGCCTCCCAACAATTCTCTTCTTTTTCGTCCCTTCATTTCTCAAATCTACCCGAAAACTTCATTTCTTTCTTTCCCTGGGTCATTCTTGTCAACATTCTTCCTTTCTCCAAAATGTTCAGTAGAACAATCAAGGGGAAAAAACTCGGAAAACATCTAATAACGGCTTACAAACACCACATTTCTTTAACTTAAGTGTTCTCCTATTCACACAAAAGTTTTGCGGTCTACATCTTCATGGATGATTCGTTCCTTCGAGCGCTCATTCGTTATTTGCTCTCCTTTCTCTGTATATTTACCACAGATGATGAGGTCTCCCTTCATTTCATACTTTCATTTATTCTACCTATTCTCAGATTAGAACAAGCGGGCTTTGTCCCCAGAATACAATTTATTCTCTTTTCATCCTTAGGTGCTTTTTCAAATTGCCGTGCTGTCTCGTGATTTTCAATGATTTGGGCTTGACAGAACCTTTGGTGTGATTGACATTTCGAGACAACGAATCTGGCACCAGACGGAAGTCTTGACTTTTCTGTGAACTGGACAAGTAGGAAAGAATGTTAGACTCAGTTTTGAAGTAATCGTGACTCTCCTCAGAACTGCCGCATGAAAATTGTGTGGTGCATTCTACTGTATCTTCTATCATTCAACGGCTACTTACACTCACTCATCACCATACAAAATCTTCCCCGAAGGGCAGTAAGTTGTTTCTTCTTCCCGGAACAGTGCACTCGAAATGCTCAATTAAATTAATTAAAAATCATGAATTTCCATGGTGCAGACTGTGTTTATTATCCATAACGCAAATATCACCTGAAACTGTGTGACAACGTATTGGCGGCTGTGAGAGCGGGATTTTCAAAGGAAAGCCCTACTAATAGTAGGGGTATTGTATCTGCCCTCGGGTCCGCGATTGTTTCGGCTCTTTAGACGAACACTCAAATTGATTAGTGGGTTCCGATCTAGGATTGTGATATTCCATGCTACAGCATGGCGTGGGTGAATGATAATCATACACGGATCGTAATTCCCCATCCGGTCTATTGTAGCTATTGTTTATACGATACCACAGTAACACATGCAGTCAGCCTTCTTTGTACTCATCATTGTATGCCCTGAGCTTATCGTTGACTCATTATGCTATGACCGGATGTTGGCTTCGAATAATTCACTGCTCCGACGCGGGACTCCGTCTTAACGACCCAAGGGAGTCTATAAAAGACTGCACACGTAGGGGAAAAAGAAGTCTGTTCTCTGTTACATTATTCTTCAAAAATCTCATTACATCTTTAATATAATATCAATTTAATTCTAATTCAACATTTTTTTTTTCCATTCATACTTGCGCAGTCTTCTCCGAGTACTTCAACATCGAATCCTGTCGAGCTCGCAATGTCTTCAAGCCAAGACACTAGACAGCTGGCGAATCAAAGGCCGCCATCCCTTTCTCAACACACCGTGGATCTAATCAGGAAGATGCGAGGCGTTATTGAGTCGAGCGGTGTGACCATAATGCTAGCTACAGCTCTGAACAACAAAGATTCATCTAAGACCATAAAAAATGCACTCAAAGAGGCGAGAAGGGCATGCAAAATCATCGACAATATAGTCTACGCTTTTCAAGTGGAGAATCCAGATGGAATACCAGGTTTCCATTGGTACCTTGATAACGGGATGAATAAGCTAGCGTTATCTAGTTTGGTGGCAGAGACTGATGTCGCTGAGCATACGCTGAAAAGAAATTTTGCCCTCAAAAACGAATTCGATACAACCCCGTCTCAAAAACTCATTCGAGGACCAAAGAGCGACGATGAGAAGTTTTTCGAGGTTGCAAAACGCGACAACTATTCTGCCGCTGACTACGAAGCTCATCACATTGGGAAGAGATTCTCTTATTTGTTTGCAGAATTCAAATCTTACGAATCCATCCTGGGCAACAAGCGTGCCCCTCCAGGTAGGGACGAACTCCCGGGTTTGAAAGCCGAAATCGAGAAAGAACTCTTCCACATCTGGGACACAAGAGACAAATTCTACAGTATCATGTTCTCGGATGACGGAAAAAAGAGCTCATTCGTAGCGGGAGAATATATAGAGCTTAAGAAGAAACTGGAGCATGTCCATGATCTTGCAAAGTCGTTGGAGGCGGAAGTGCATGACCTTGGGGAATTGAAGGGACTGAGAGTCCAATCTGCGACTCCATTTCCGGACTTCCCTTAGAATCAGTGCCTTATTGGTATCGGGTGACAAGAATAAACTATTAGGATACAGTACTAGTACGATTTTCGATACGAGCGGCCGAGATCTCGTCACGTATATTGTCCACAACAGCGAAGGCGATTCTACCATGAGGGTGAAGCCGCAACCCTCTTTATTCATCGATTGCCGCTTCTCATACATGTTGGATAAGTCCATGCCCCTTTTCTATATCTTTCTTATATTCTTTTTCTTATATTCTTTTTCTCATATTCTTTTTCTTATATCCTTTTTCTTATGTTCTCTTTCTTATGTTCTCTTTCTTATGTTCTCTTCCTTATATTTTCTTATACCTAAAAGTTCTCAGCAAGCAAAAGTGCTAGACAAAGGTAGGAAAACATTTTATAAAACTCTAAAAATCTTGTAGATTATACACTATAACTTTCTTCTGGATGACATATGATTGGCACATCTATCTAGGCGGCAATTTTTCAATTCTTACACTCATTCACGTTTAGATTCCTTACCTATGTTTATATGGCGGACTGCTCCGCCTTTCCTAGCTTCTTAAATTCATTCATTCTGCCTAAACCTTTAGACTAGAATAGACGGGTCTTCCACCCCATCAATTTACTTTCCAACTCTGGTTTTTTTGAAACCTATACTGATTTTTCATGATGTCACAATGCTATAACTTCATCGATTCTGCTTAGGGCTTCTCACGACCCTTGCGTAATATACAAAAAAGAATCGAATTTGATCCACACTACAATAACGCAGAATTTCCAATACTGTGAATGTGCTGTAGAATCTACCCTGAGTTTAAAAACTTAGAAGCCACTCACTCGTGTTTCAGATAAATGTATAGTCATCGTTCATTACGCGTGTGTCTCAAAAGTTTGCGCTAAGGTTGCATTGAACTCTGCTTCCTTCGTAGTGTTGCGCAGCCTCTTGGTAAATAGTCCAATAATGATACATCAAGTTTGGACAACCAATGATCAGGCTGTTTAGCGTTTTTTTGGACTCAAGTACTGGTCATTGGAGTCATTTGGCTATATTGGAAGTTCAAGATTCGACTTAAGCGGCACAGCCCGTTTTCACTTGATTGGAAGTGATTCATCGCAGATCTGGTGCCACCATGAGTCGAGTTGAGGGACTCTATAGTATCACATACACGTGGTTTGAATTACACGGTCTCTCTATTTTACGACTGGGATCATAAAAGTCTGACGAAATTTACTACGTTGTAACTTTCCATGCATAACCCGAAACTGTGACCCAGTCTCAAAATTCGCAATCTCTCAAATTCTGTCTCCAGAATTCCGCTCATATCATGACTAATACGAAAGTCGCAGTCATCTATGGTGCGGCTGAATTGACTATCCTGGCTCTTAAACAGTCATAAACCTAGAAATCTAGTCATATCAAGGTGCTTACCGCCCTTTGCAAATTCTTCTGAATCATGTACACAAATATAAAGGTTCGAATCTTTGGGAAAAGTTTCTCTCTCTCTCATCGACACAAAAACTTCCATATACCAGACTACGACGAGGAATCCTACAAGAATCCATGAATTCAGAAGCAACCCCAAAGACTGGCTCAAGCCCCACATCGAACGACCCCCGATCTCTCTCAAAGAAAGACGTACTTTTAACCTTTTTCAAAAACTCCTCCAGAACGCTGGTGAAGGGCTCCACCGCTATCCCCCCGAATGGCTCCTCGGCACTTCTGAAAAGCCGAGAAGAACAGATAGAAGATCTTTCGAATTCTCTAGAGCAGGAACGACAAGCCGTGGAGCTTGACGGAAAACGGGTAACACCACGTGACATGATCACTTACTGGGAGGCATGGCACAAATACAACCATATCACAAACAGCCTCCAGGTGTTTATTGAGGAGGTTCGAAAACGATCGGAGGAATACAAGAGAATCAGAGAAAAGGGCCGCGTTTCCATAGAAGACGAAGAAGACATGGCGTATTACAGAAGGCAAGCCTTCGTTGGTATTGCCATACTTTATCACATTGTGTATGACACAATGAGTATCACAAACCAGAAATCGTTCTTCGAAAAAGGAGAGATCAATGGATGCATAAAGGAGCCTCGTGGCTGCCAAGAAGCGACCGCAGCATTGTTATCCGAGTGGGAAAGAAGGTGGCAGCCCATTATTGGGCCGGATTTGCACGAGAAGACTGCACGTTTCTTCGGGGACATAGACATACCCGTCTTGTGTGGCTATGGAGGAGTTCAGAATTTGCTGTGGAGAGCTTCAGGTGAAATTGCGGCAATGGATGGCGCAGCGAGAGATGTTCTCAAGAGCATACCAGACCATATGATCCCGGATTTCTTCGGATCACGTTTTCATGATGAATCGGAAAGGACTGTACCTTTGGAAGATATTACAAAGTTCATTCCACCCAAGTACAGACCCCTGGAGATTCACATACCCCGTAAAATACCGCTCGACAAACCAATCATCAAGAATGACGAGCAAAGTCGCGGAATATTGAAGAGCTTCAGTTCAATCCTGAAGTCAGTACCCACGTCTCGATATTTGCTATGAAAATAACTGACACTCATCTATCTACACAGGAAATCTCGTTCTTGACCTCCCGATCGCTATGACCATTTCCTATGTTTTCCCTTATATTTTCCCTTACAAAACTGCGGCAATGGAAGATGCAGCGAGAGAGGTCATCTACAGAATACCGGGCTATGTGCAACCAGAATAAGTCAAACCACCTATTCCATGGCACTAGAAAAATACTGCAACATTGGAAAATATCACAACATTCATTCCATTCGAGCACACAGACGTGGATGTCGACATACCACCCGGAACAACGCTTGACGAGCCAATCATTCCCTACGATGACGAAGACAAAGCTGAACAACCGGAGAAATTGAAAGAAGTTTCTAGAAATCAGCAAGGAGCTCGACAGCCAAAGCTAAGAGCCAAGGAAAGGAAGTCCCCTGGCAAAAGTGGTGGGACAGTGACGGGTGTTACTTCGAGTCGAAAGTCAGTACCCATACTCCTCTATTCATTTTCATAGCGTCGACTGACTCTCATCTGTCCACTTAGAGGCTCTCATTGTTGATTTCTCTGTATTCGTAACCTTCATTCTTGTATTCCCTTTTGGTTTTCTTATCTATATCGGGATCCCTATCCTATTTTCTTCCTGGTCTCTTACACTATGTATCTGTATTCCTTTTTTCTACTACCTTATCATATCATCTTCATAGACTTATTACAAATCTTTTTTTACGATGCATATAAGCCTATTCAAACATTCCAATAAATTTATAGAGATTGCATGATTTGACTATAAGAGGCACAAATTATACTATAGATTTTGAACGTTAGTACTGTATATCTAATAAATCTATATATCATTACTAGTTTACTATGACATTACATTCGTTCAAACATTAAATGCGCAGTGAATCCTGTGATATATAGTGCATGACCTAGACCTAGACGTGAGTCGAGAATATGTGTCCTTTACTGATGACGCTATCTTACAAGCTGTGATACCCCAAATTAAATGCCCAAGATGAAGCTCGATCCATGACTACTACCCAAGTTTTGGCCGCCCGTGCTGCGGCTGAAGGGGTGGCACTAGCTCATTAACAGTCATACACGTTGAACTCGAGCCACGTCACAATTTCATCGTGCTTCATAGATGTCTTTGACTCATTAACTCATACATAAAAGGCCGGAAATCGCGGAAAAGTATCTTTTCCCCTTTTGACAACAACAACAAAGACACATATTCGAAATTCTTAGAAGCATCTACAGAAAGCCATTCCACCAAAAGGAGCCCCAGTTCAAAGATCTTCCAAAATGCCCAAAAATACCATACAGCGCGACACAGCACACACATCTGAGTCTTCAATGTCCTCTAGAGCTATCATGCAGCTCAAAAAGGTCCTCGGGAAAGAATCTTTCACTACCCCTGGGAACACCGTGAAGAGAGGAGCAGCCCCCGCGAGAGACTCATCCGCAACTTCAGAGAGCCCAGATGAACAAGCAGAGCAAAATACAGACCCTCTCGAACAGGAACATGGACTGCCAGAACGTTTCACAGTATTGAATTTGTCCACTGAAGACCAGAAGTTGAAACTTAGATGGCTCAGTCTCAATCAGCTCATGAAAGACGTCCACGATCACACAAAAGACGTCCACGATCACACAAAAGAGATCCAAAAACGCTCTGACGCATACAAAAAACTGAAAAGTGAGCATCAATTCTGCGGTCAGGATTATATGAAGATCCTGTATTACAGAGATGAGGTTTTCCTTGGAGTCACCCAACTGCACTACATGGTATGGAGCACGGTTTCTAGACAGCCAGATATGGAATTGTGTTGGCCACGATTCAAAAAAGGCGACTACAATTTGAACACGTTCGAGCCAACTGCTTTTTCGAGAGAACTGAGAGATGATTGGAGGATAAAATGGTACCCCGTATTCGACCAAGCTGTGCAGGCCAAGCTGTGCAGGCGGATACTGTGAGGTTTCTTGGGGATATAGATATACCCATCAAGGAGGGATGGAATGGAATCTTCACTTTGCTGATGACGGATTCAAGCTTGTATAGCGACGCAGTTGCGGCGATGACATCCGCTGTGAAAGACGTGATCGCGGGAATACCAGGATATAAAGCTCCAGAGCGGCTGGAACCACTTGCCCCCCTATCTTGGCAAGGGTTCGAACGCGTGGATCCCATTTCACGAACGGTGCCACTCAGGTACCGAGCCGAGGAGCTCCACCCGTATCTCAAGGATTGTCAGGAAGTGGAACGCCGGAAAGAATCGCAAGGAAAAGGCTTCCTGGGTCACATCGCAGAAAAATGAAGGGTTTCGGTTAATTCTGAAGTCAGTACCCACATCCTGATGATATTTGCTATCGAAATGACTCACACTTATCTGTCCGCCCAGGAGATCTCTCTTTCTTCACCTGCCGATGGTCATGGTCATCTCTTATGTTTTTCTTTGTGTTTTTCTCCTCTAGATTGGTTTGGGTATCCCATTTGCATTCTAAGTTCCTATGGTAGAAGCTGAGAGTTTGATGGCTGCGGTCACTCGTTTATCTTGACGACCAAATTAGCACGATCTTTTAAATTTCGGTTTCATATTGTTGGGATTCCTGCGTTGAAGTGAGGCCATTGAGATCGATAAGACTTGTCGTTCTTTATCAGGCCTCTCTCTTTTCGCACAGGTGCTGTTTCCTAACTCTTATCTAAATTGTATTTCTCTGTGTACTGTAAACTAGATCGTGGACTTAATCATGATATCAATTATCTTCTCGGGGTTATATTGGGATATATGCCTAGACCTTATCTGCGCTCCACTTGAAATGAATTGATGCCGTGACGATTGATGGAATTGAGTACAGACCCAAGTTCAGTACAATTTCCAGATTTCTCTTTACATTGATAGAGAGGGTAGGCATGTGATATCGCGTCTATGTGTCCGTGATATATTCCCAGCTTGTAATAGGGTATGATACACTGATTCTCAGTGCTTATACGAGACCTTGCTTCTCGAGATGCTTAATGAAATTAACACACATGATTCTCCAATGTATCTGCTATGAGGATGAAAGATTCTCTGATTTAACAATATAGTAGTGAGTCAGGGACCAAGTGACATCGTACACTACGTTATCGATAGACAGTGACTGGTTTCTATCAAATCACCCTATCACAGGTTTGAAACAGGTGTTACCTCAATATAGTAATTACGCTTTCTGAGAAGCGTGAAATGTTGACTCACGAACGGCATTATAACACGATGACTGCGTGCAATACAAATTGAGTCACAGAGTGTTGTATAAAATGAGGCCCGAGGCAGTCTTTCTTCCTCCAACAGCACACTTCACAGATACCCAAAACCCACTAAACAACCTTATACAACACTATGCCGCCCAAAGCAGTCTCAACAAAGGGATCCTCCGCACCCCCGGCGAAGGGCGCCTCAGTACCCCCAGCAGAAGGCTCTACATCCCATACCTCTTCAACAGTCCCAAAGAAAAACTCCTCTGCACCTCCTCTACATGGACCCGCAGAAACTCTGGCGAGGAGCTCGCTATCAATCGCAAAGAAAACTCCTGCAGCCCTACCTGTGACAGCCTCTTCATCAATCCCAACGCAAAGCTCTTCTGTACCTCCTCCGCATGGACCCATAGCGGCTCTGGCGAAAGGCCCACTAGCAATCGTAGCGAAAACCCCTGCAGCACTGTCTTTAGAAAGCCGAAACGATCAGCCGAAAAACGACAAGGCTTCTGGAAAGCGAGAGACGCAGCTACCGAACCTTGTCGAGGAGATCCCACCACCCACAGAGGTAGATGGAGCGTCTCCAGAACAGGTCGAGAGCATGAAAAATTCATGGGCCGAATTCAACTTACTCGCCAGTGAAATGACGGAGTACGTAGAAAAGATACAGGGGGGCATCAACGAACACGAAGAACTCAGAGATTCCTATCAACAGTCCGAAGAAGACTACAATACCATGTTGACACGGCGAAATACCATTCTCTTACAGTTCGCTGTGGCGTACGAGAAGCAGATGAGGAGTTTGAAGTTAGAAGAGGCCGATGGACTGATAGAGGGTTGGGGCGTCAATGTACCTTTTGGGACCTCGGTCAAGTGCACCTACAAACTTTTGGAAGCTGAGTGGGATCGCAGATGGCGGTGTGTCATCAGAGAACGTCTGCACCATCTCGTAGACATAGCTTGTGAAAAGCTCGGTATGCCAGTCGAGGGGACCAGACATATCATTTGGCAATTAAATAACGCTGTTCATGTTGCAAGCGATGACGAAATGCTGAGTTCTGATATCGCAATGGGGCTTGCCAATCTGGAAGGTTACAAGCCCCCAGAATTCAAGCCACAATCCTCCTCGGAAGGGAAGCAACCAGCAAAACCGTAGGCCGACAATACGCATTCCGATCGACGTCGCTGAATGTACCAAGCGTACTGCTTCTTTACTACGGTTAGAAACTCCCCTAGTCACCCTTTGCAGCGATCACCAACCATCTGACACTTCCTTCACTTTTTACAGGACCCCATCTGCTCTATTGCAGGCTTCCTCAACCCACTGTTTTCTAATCTCTGGATTATCAACATGTATTATCTTTTTCTTTTCACTTCTCTCTCAATTTCCAGATCTAGCAAGTCAGATTTCCTTAGCTCATTTGTTTAGTAGATAGCTGCAATATTCTGCTCCCTCTATTCTTTCTGTTTAATCTTACTTATTTCCCCTATCTTATCTATTTATCTGTTTTTCTTTTCTATACTACTTGTCTCTATGATATTTCTTACTGTTTAGGCTCTGTCTTTCTTTATTCTTTTTGTTGTTTCTTTCCTTCTCAGAATGTATACACTTTTTCAACCTTTGTAATTTACAAGCTCAACTGTGCAAGCGTATAGAAGGCTATATAAAATCTCCATTCTTTAGAATGAATATCTTTGAGAATCAATACCTGCTCATAGCGCCATAATGACTAAGCGTAGTCGTGATTCATCGCATTTCCATGCGGCACAAGCACTTGGTATCAAAGACACGATAAATATGCTTTCGAACTCCAGGAAGATGCCATAGTGACAAATGCTCGCATGAAGCCCCCTCATTTTGATCTACAAAACACATGAAGCACCAATCAAGGGAAGAACTGGTTCTTGAAGAAGATATGATACTAGCTGGCTCTCACTGCTAGCAACTGGCGACCCATGCATGACACAAAACACAATTAACATAGCTGAAATGATGGGAGTTGTTCGGATTGCTTTTGTTGCAATACATACGAAGGATGATGCAGGAACGGCGACTGCGGAGGCATATGACACTGCGGCAATGAATTGCTTTCAATTGCCATATCTGCTGTTTATTCCAGATAATCATACGTTATTTCTGATCACGTGTGCACGGTAGTTATACCAACATTGAAATCAAAGAAAAAGCAATACACACGATTGCCCCCGCCGAGTCACAGAAAACATAATCCAAAGGAATTCATGATCTGTTCCAGTCTTTTTCTCGTTTCGCTTTGAAAATTTTGTCTTTCTTATCTTAGTGATTTTGATTTTCTTCCTTCCCCGTCTCCCACCCACACTCCCTACTCCAAGTATACATCCAACCCCTCTACTCATTCTCCCCCTTCTCAAACTTCTCCTTCCGCTCCTGTTCCCTCTTCCGTTCAAGCTCCCTCACCTTTTCAGGCGGCGAGTCTTCAATCAAATCCGAGCTATCGCTCAACCCGCTCCATTTCGGTAGTCCATCGGGGATATCCATGACACGCTGGCCATAAAACATATGGCAGCGGGGTTTGAACAGCGCCTTGTCTTCGTCGGTTTTGAGGTGGACCAGCGAGGGGAAGAGGAGGATCATGTTGCGGCCTTCGTCCATGACTATGTGCATCGCGTTAGCTTGACTTCGAGAGGATAGGGAAGAAAGGGAGGGGAGTTGGGGAAGACGTACTAGGACTATGACAATAACTGCACCTCACCTTACACGGCAACTTGTGCTCGATGCTCTTATCCGTCGGATCATACCACTCTAAATCATGGTGCCCGTTTGTGAAGTTGATATCCGTTTTGTGGAATATGGCCGCCCACTGAAATGGCGCGGCGTGTTGTGTCTGGCACGTAGTGCAATGGCATAATTTACTGTCGAGGGGTTCGCGGCGCGAGAGTTGGTACGACACTTTACCGCAGTGGCAGTTTGCTTCGTATTTCACGGGGAAGTTTTCTTGCGCTTCGTGGACGCGGTATGGGGCGCGTTGTTTCCACTCTGAGAGCCCAGAGGTTTCGGAGCCGCGGGATTGAGGGTGCGAAGGGTGTGACATTTTGGTGGAGGTGGAGAAGGGAGAGGTTTGGAAGTGGGAGTTTACGAGGGTGAGACGGGCGAGAGGGCGGGATGTTGTTGCTGTGAAGGGGAGGCGTCGGAGAGTGCGTGAGGCAGGGGTGGTCATGAATGAGTTGTGGATTTTTGGTTTGGAGGTGTGGAATTGAGAATTGGTATGAGAGAGAGGAGAGGAGGGAAGGGAAGATTACAATTGGTTTTGTATGGGGATTGGGGTAGACGGTCAATGGGATCAATATGCTGTGTCGTAATGCTCTTGTGTTATGTGTACTGCATGACAGTTTCGGGTCGGAGAACGACGCGTGCATTACGTCACAATGATTTTGCGGAGGTTTGACACGCGCGCGATCCTGTGATCGGCACGAGAATCCTTGAACGTCAACGGGTGATATTTGCATGGCTGCAATATTTTTGGGGGTCGGTTAGATGAGTGTTGGACGGGGGTTGAATAATCCATGATTCGGATTAGAGGGGTGCTGACAAGATTGGTGTTGGTAAGGAGGAGAAATGAGTCGTGGCGTAAAGCATTGGCGAACGGCAAAAGCAATTCGTTTCTTTCTTTTTACACTGTGTATGAATATTCAAAGCAAGATAGATTTAAGAACTATGGAAATAGAAGAATCAGGTAGTTTAGAACCTGAGGCTATCGTGACCAAATATGACCCGCACAAGACTAAGTACAACAACCCATGTGTACGTTGCCAGTCAATCATAATTTGCACGAAATTTCTTATTGTATGCCAACTACACTAGGAAAATTATATATTTAATAGAAAGGAGACACGTAACAACTTCTATAAGATACATAATAATACATATGAAGAAGACAGGAACCTAGCCTGTAGAAGAGAAGGTAAAAAGAAAATAGTGAAAAACAATAATAAGACAAGAATAAAAGCCCCCCTCTATCCTATCAATAGGAACACACTAGCAATATAAATAACAAAAAAAGGAAGAAAGATAACCAGGAAAAAACAAGAGGGGGGAAATAGGCTATCTGAGGCAACCCCGGATTGAACGCGGAATCGGTCGGTATGCCTATACTATAGGTAAAGCTAGGTGTAAGATGGGCCAGGCATGTAGACAGGAGCTTCTAGTAGAGAGATGGCTACAGGGTGCGCAATGCAGTGTGTAGGATGGCTCTGGACAGGGGTAAACCTTTCATGTAGTTCCCTGCAGATTGAAATCAGTCTTCTCTTTCCGTATAAATGGAATGAAAAGAAAACACAGGGGAGAAAAAGAAGATGAACATCATTAAGTCAACTTCAAAGGTACAGCACCTCGCCTTTTACAAATATAGGAGGAACTCGCCCTCAATAGAAAAGAAGAGATTTTAGGTTACAAAAGTAAGAAGATCGGCCCACTCACCAACGAGATTGGATCTTCCTGAGTATCCAGAGGAACGATCCGGGATTGTTGTACGCGAGGTGAAAAGGAGTGTGATTTTCGAAAAAGGGAAATGAATAGAATCGGACAAAAAACAACAATCCAGAAAACCTCACCGTTCCAATCCACCACCCACCACCTTACACACTCCCCCCCAAAACCCCCTCAACCCTCCCCTTCGCCTCCGCAAACTTCTCCTTCACCTCCCTCAACCCCCTCGCCAAAACCGCATCCGCAGCAGCCATATTATCCACATACCCACCCCCCACATGCGTCTCCACAAACTCCTGAAACGCATCAACCGTCCCCTCAACCACCGTCATCATCTTATCGACCTTCTTCTTCTCCTCCACCACCTCCTCCCGACGAGCAGTGCGCGCCCACGCAACGAACTTATCAAGATCAGACAGCACGCGATGCAGACATATGAACATCGCTGCGCACTGCGCCACTTCTTCTTTTTGGACGAGTTCAGCCACGAGGCGCGCCATTTCGGGGAAATTCGAGATGTAGGAGGGTTTTTGGGGGGCGGGGCGGATGTCGCGTTCGCGGTTGGTAGGGCCGGGGTTTTGAGAGGTCGAGTGGGCTTGGGAGTGGCGGGTTACGACTGGCGGTGGGTTTGTGGAGAGGAGTTGCGAGAGATTGTCGTAGCAGTGGGGGTTTTGTGGTAGGGGATCTTTTGTGGCAGCGTTTGGGAGCATGCCTTGGGACTTAGAGGGGACTGATGGGTTGGTGGGCATTGAGGTATCATGCCTTGAGAGTTCGGAAGGCAGTGGTCGGGGAATTGAATGTTCGGCAGTTGGTAAAAGGCTACGCCAGTCGAAGGACCCTGGGTGAGCTGATGAGTTGGCGGTCATCGACGAATCTTGCAATGAGAGCTCGGAAAACTGTGATTGGGCTAGTGAGTCGGAGGTAGTTGAAAAAGGATCACGCCAATCGTGGAACTCTTGAGCTGGAGAGTTGTCGGTTATTGGGAAATCTTGCGATGGGAAGATGTTGGGGTTGAGAGTTGGATGAAAGGCGGTGGGTTGGGTGTGTTGCGTGTGTGCTGCGGCGGGAATGGACGGAGGCGCCATTGAGGGAGATTGCTCGCTTTGGCTGGGGTTGGGTTTCTGCCTTTTGTTTTGTCTACCCTTGTCTTGGGTGTTGCTCGGCTGGGAGCGTCTGTCTGGTCTTGAGGGCATGGTGGTGTTTTGTTTGAGCGATTCTTTGGTGTGTGTGTTTGTATAGATATGTATATATAGATACAGAGGTAACAATAAGTCGAAGTCAAAGTCGAATATAAAAATTGTAAGTATGTATTGTATCAGAAAAGGAAGAAGGAAGAGTAAACAGCAATCAGACCCTCTTATAGTATTCCAGGAGTCACAGTCACACTACACTACGTTGCACACGCACACATGAGCACACGAAGGTACAACGTACAAACCCATCGCTGTGACTGAATCCTTAATAAGAGTAAGACTTGGGAATAAGACTCAGGTGTAAGACTCACGGTAAGGCGTACACTGAGGTTGCACTCGTGTTAAAACTAACATACCATATTCTCTTCGGGCGTTGGTGTGAGAGTGGGTGCCATAGTAAGAGCTGATGGAAGATGGAAGTAGAAAGCCTTTTAAGAACTCTGCTTTTTTTCTATAGCTAAAAGCAACAAGCGTACTATAGTTCTTTAACCTTAATACTACGGATTTCTGAAATCTGTACATCTCTATAGAACGTTGCATACGTCACTACGTTAAATGCGCAGTTATATTCTCTACACTACACTACACTACTACCCCGTCGTACATACTTACACACAGCTACACAGATACACAGCCTACAGGTCTTAGAAACACATTGCTCAATCAAAACTCAAAGAGCAAGACTCATGCTAAGGTAGTAGTAGTGACAACACTAGCATACTATATTCTCTACACTACATTACTACCCCGTTGTACACACGCACACACAACTACCTAACACACACTTTTAAGAACTTTATTTCTTTAACAAAATTCTTAAGAGTAAGACTTATACTAAAGTATTATTATAACACTACTAGCATGCTATACTCTTTATACTACTAAGTATATAATTTAATTATTACATTTCTATGCAGCACAAACACTTGCTTAGTATTAGAAAATTACACAATAAATCTGCCTTTAAGCTCGGGGCAGGACACTTATTCTCTATACTATACTACTACCTTATTATACATATGTATATAAAGAAGGGAGTAGATAGGGGCTAAGGAGAGAGAAGAGAAAGGGAGGGAGTTTTCTTATATCGCTATAAAACGGTATCTTAACTAACACACACACACATACATGAAAAGAAGGAATAACAGCAGCAAAAAAATAAAAAATAAAAAATAGTTTAAAAAAAAAGAAGAAGAACAAAGTTTTTGTTCAAAACTCGCTCTCGTTCTTCAACTATATAGATAGACTAGAAGCCCTTCGCTATCTAAGGTATGCAGCCAGCCAAAAAAAAAAGAAGAAAGAGAGCCGCCGGCGGGAGAAATTCAAGACCCCTTCAAAAGCTTCACAGCCTCCTTCTTGGAAAGACCAAAGACGTTGACGAGGTAATCGAGTCTACATTCCCCCCAACGACTATTAGCATAACAGACTTTTATTTTTTATTTTTTTTATTTTTATTTTTTCAAAGCGGGAAGGGAATAGGGATAGGAAATACTCACTTGATATCACCGGCGATCCTCCGCTTGACGGCTTCAAACTCGATTTCGGCCCTGTCCCTCGCATCCTCGGCGCGCTTGGCGCTGATAGTTTTGACGCGGATCTTGAACCTCCCGCTCACAGGCCGGTGGTCCGAAACCTTGACACAGTCGTGGCGTCGGTAATCGAGCTGCTTGATGCGGCCCATGCCGCGGTACAGCAGGCGGTCGCACCACGCAGGCGATCGCTTCTTCTCGGAGGTGTCATAGGTATCGGTGCCGACGTCGTACTTGTACGTTGGGGCGAAGGTGATGGGGGCTTCGTTGAAGGCGCGGAGGCGGAGGCCCGGGTTGCGTTTGCGGGAGAGGAGGAGCTGGTCGCGGTCGAGGAGTTTGGCGAGGTTGTTTTGCTTGACGGCGGAGATGACCGAGTCGCGCGTCATGGAGTCGATGCGGTAGTTGAGGTCGCCGTTGAGGATGCAGATTTCGTGGTCGAGAATCATGGAGCCGTCGCCGCCGCCGACGAAGAAGTGGGCGCAGTCAGACGGGGAGCGGTTGTGCGGGAGCGGTGAGGCTTCCATGATGGCGGCAGCGTCGTTATTACGGTGGGTCGTCTGGGACTGGCCCGCGGCAAGATGGCAGTTGATGAGGCATAGGGATGAATCGTCGACGAAGAAGCGGACTACGAGTGCGCCTTTATTCCCGACACGTCCACTGAAGCCCAACTTGATCTCCGCGGCGGCTACGTCTCGGATCTTGGTGCGTTCAGAGGCTTTGACGAATACGCAGGTGAAAAGGCCGACGAGGTTCGCTGTGTGGAGAAGCGTGTAGTTCTGCCGAGGGCAATGTTCGTCGAGTGTGCGAATGAGGTGGTCGCGCCATGCACGATATTGATGCGACATGTGCTCGTGTTCCGAGGCCTCCTTGCTTTTCTTCTTCTTGAAGAAGCTCTTTGCGGTTATCTTCTTGTCTTCCAAGTCAACCAGCTCTTGGAATCCAAACACCATGATATCCGGCGGATCTTCTGGCTGTAAAAGTTCCCGGAAAAAGTTTTGATCTTGTTTGTTGTATTGTAAGCTCGCCGGCTTGACGGCGCCCGCATTCCATGTCATGACCTTGACCGACAACTCCCGGAAACTGCAGTAATCTGCATCGTGTTCGTGCATTTTGGATTCTATTCTCGTTAGTTGCCGTCTTGACTAGAGTGAGATCCAAAAGAACAAACTCACCTAACCAATCATTGCGCAACATGCCGTCCCATATGCGCAAGAGGTTATCCGTGCCCAGCGACGCAACCTGCAGCCTGTCCAACTTCCAGATGCTTGTCCGATCTGCTAGAATCCCAGCGATAGGCTTCTTCTCATGTGCCTTCCAATCTTTCAGGACTTTCCACGGTGTAGTAGAAGTGTCGTAGACGTATATCATGCCAGTGCTATATCCAGCCCATATGTAATCTCCGACCCCCACCAGCGAGCTGATCTTGTAGAGGCTGACATTGATCACGCTGAGACACTCAAACGTCTTCTTGGCGTAGATGGTGACTTTGCCGTCCGTGTGGCCAAAGTATATGCGATCTGGTTGGCTGCTGAGAATGGCGCCCGATGTCACATCTCCCACGTTAGACTGCGAAATACTCTTAGGGGTCACTTGCTGGAACTGCTGGTTATCCCCCGTGCGGTTCCACACGCGAATGTCCTTTGTGAAAGCCACCCATAACTGCGACCCCGAAATGATGGAGAAAGTGTGGCCTCTGGGTATGTGGAACGTGGAAGGGGTTTGCTGCAGGGTGGGATGGCCAAACTCGTCTGCAGGCCAAATGTGCAAAGTCCCGTCGTCATCCAGCGACCACATTTCTGATGCATAACGGAAAATCTTCACAATGGTAGCTCCTCTATGCGCGTGTGGCTTGGTATAGGCTATGCTTTGTGTGGGTATATCTAGTTCGTGCATCTCCCCGGTATTGGTGCCCAGCCATATCCGCTTGCCCTCGTCTTCCACGTCTTTGGCGGGCCGAAACGCTATTGCAGTCACTTTTACAGTATCACCATGGCTGAGACTCACGAGCAGTCGGCCGTTGAGCACATTCCAAACATTTGTCACGTAGCCTGTAGTACATATGTACTCTCCGCAAATGGCGAACAACTTTGTGTCATATCCCGTAGGAATCATGTTGACGCCTTCCTTGAATATCGGCGGTCTGCGGTTGGCGTGGGAAGCATCCGGGTAGTCGGTTAAGACCGGGCCCGACTGTTCACTCGCCTCATCAAAATCGTCGGAATCGTAGGTATACGGCTGCTGTACATGTGCGGGGATGGAAGTCGGTCGTGGGGAGTCAGTGGATCTTCGGAATTCGCCAGAGTTGCGCGGCGGCGGTGGCTTGGGTGGTTCCAGAGATTTGGATGCGGTATTAGTTACTATATTCGCGGTAGAAGTACGTCTCGGAGGTTGCATCAATCTCTCGGCGGCCAACGAGGATGGGCGGAACGTATCCATGGACCGTCGCACAGGGGGTTCTGGCGGTATGGGCCTTTGTATCACCATGCTCTTCCTCAGATCCATGTTATCCTTTTCTCTTCGCGCTGGAAGCGCGGGTCGGTCCTCTGGGCGGTTGCTTGGAACCGATTGCTTTGGCGGAGGCGGAGCTCCAATCCTTACTGATTGACCACTTATTGAAGCTCGCGGATCAGAGGCAGATATCCTCTCGGCCACCGAATGATGTACAGGCGGAGGAGGGAAATATCCGCTTCTCGATCTCGAGTGGCCAGGCTCCACCGTTGCCGACTCTTCTCTTCTAGGGCTGCCATCGTGACTGCTAGGCGGGGTGCTAAAAGGCGACACTTTGTCCATGACCTCTTCCTGCTCCGGCGCGAGGGATGCTTTGCCGCCAATGTCCATGGAAGCCGGCTTCGCGGGTATCTTGGGTTTGCCGGCGCGATTGATGGGCGGGGGGACGGGTGGAGCAGACGCAGCGTGCCGGTCGAAAATGCCGCTCTTGCGGGGATCGCCAGAGGGGCTGACATTCTGGCTGGCGGGGAAGGACGGTTTCGAGTCGAGCTGGGGGGTAGTATGCCTGCTAGGGATCCTGAAGTTCTTTGCGCCAACCCCAGTTCCATTTCCAATCGCATTTGGACCTCCATTGGCAGTCGCGGGGAAGGTGGTGCGGGCGGGAGAGTCGAGCGCCGAGTGCGGGAAGGAACGTGATGGCAGCGGGGAGAGGATCTGGGGTTCGGAAGTCCTGGGCGGCGATTTCGGGGAGATGATGGTCAGTTTCGGGGGAGAGGAGGACGGCGAGGGCGGCGAAGCGCATGCGACCATGGACGTCGGACGGAGCTTGGGGGTGCTCCAAGGATTCCGCAACGTGGTGCTCGAGCGCGGCGTCGCGGGGCCATTATTCACACCGCTTTCCCGCGCGCTGGACGACGGCAGCCGGGCAGCATTGCCACCATCCCTGGGAATATCCAGCGACATGCGCCCATCAGGTCTTCGTTCGGCGTCGACGAGGCGATCGAGGGCGGGCGAGGGCAGTCGCGGGGTTGCAGGCGGGGCGGGGATGGTGTTACTGCCGGAGGAGGGCTTGGTGGCATTGAGCATGCTCTCGAAGTGGCTGCGCAGCGACGACACGGGCTTGATGGACGAGCCATCGGTGTTTTCCTCCTGGGAAGGCTCCATGGTGGAGCAAGTGGAAGGCGACGCAGTAGTGTGGATGTGTATTTATATGGGCGGAGACTTGGCGGAGGAGGCGGAGGAGGAGTCAGCCAGGGTCTGAGTCGGCGGTAGAGGTGTTCATGGACCGTGGTGAAGATGTTCCCATTGAGCGCTGGGGAGCAGGAGGTGTGAGGGAGGATGCGACGGGGCAGGCTTCATGCGGCGCGGGGGTTCGTCGGGGGTGGAGTGAGCGAGGGAGGGGTGCATGTATTGTCGGTGATTGAATGAGAAAGTCGGGAAGAAGAGAAGATGAAGATGGTGATGTGACGGTGGGGGAGAAGGAAGAAGAGCAGGAAGACGGACAAAGGGGAGGTGGAGGAGCGAGTGATTGCGTATGCGTGTGGGAGGGTTGGAGTGGGGAGTCAGGAGGGAGAGTCAGGCAAGACAAGAATGAAGCAAGCGAGGTCGGGCGGACGTGGCCAGGGAGGAGAGATGCTATAAATAAATAACACTCTTTTTGGAATTGTTGTTGTTGTTTGTCGCTGTGGACTTGTTGACGGTTGGGCGGTTTGAATGCTGTTGGATGAATGCTCCCATGTTGTTTTCAACGTTGAACCTTGCCGTGTCGTAAAAGTGGGCCCCGCCGGAGACGTTGTATACATATGTATACACCATTGATGTATATACTCGAGTATATATATATATATATATATTCACAAATCAAGTATACAAGACTCTCCGTCTGCCTCATTATAGAGATTAGTTATTCCAATATATCTGCTCCCTGTTTGCAGTAGTAGCCATACGTACAATAGCTACCGCGGCCCAAATTAATAATAACCCCATGTACCTCTCCCTCCCCCTCCATCACCACCACCACCACCACACTCACCCACCACTCTCCACTACACCATACATACCCTACGAAACAACACGCCCACACACTTCACCCTCAAAGAACCCTTCCCACAGAACCATTCCCCAAGACAAGAAAAAAAAAAAGAAAGTCCATCACCAAACTCCACCACCACCACATCACCCCCGCGGCCTCACCCAGGCCAGCAACCAAAAAAAAAAAAGAGAGAGAGAGAGAACATCACCAAGAATAAACAACAAACCATGTGGTACGCCCCCTCTCCCCTTCTAAACCCCCCACCAAACCAACAAGAAAAAAATCCTCACAAAAAATAAAAACCACAGCAAGCACATTCTCAACGCACAAGTCTCAATCCGCGCCCCCTGCTGCAAGCGCTGGTTCGACTGTCCCGAATGCCACCTCGAAGCCTTCCCACCGCCCACCAACCCCTCCCCATCCAATCCCTCCCCTTCATCACTGACGACGCAAAACTCCCACCCCCTCCTCCAATCCTTCGAAATGACCTTCGCCTGCAAGAAATGCAAAAAATGTTTCCGCAAAGACGCCAGGGAGATGGAGGACGCAGATGAGTACTGTCCGTTCTGCGACAACCATTTTGTGCTGGATGCTGTGATGCCCAAGGCCGAGTTGAAGGTCGAGAGTGAGGATGTTAGGGTCGATGCTAGGATGTTGAGGGATGAGAGGGTCAAGGGGGAGGAGGGGAGGTCGATTTTTGATGTCAAGGACGCGGCTGAGAGGTTGGGTTGATTTTTGATGGGGGAATGGGAGATAAGGGAGAGGGGGGGAATATACCACTTTTATACAGCTTCACATGGGTTGATCGCGGAATTATAGTGTACATGCACATACACATACACACGCACGCCATACAGACGATTGAAGAAGGACATTACGCACACATCCTAGGCCGTGGCTATATTCCGCTCGCTCTACAGCGTAATGCACTTCTGCATCCGCCCTGTCTAGCCTTTTCTACGCTGCCAAACGCCCCCTGCTTTCATGTGCTAAATCCGTTATTCATTCATCACTCTTTTCTTGTCCCAAATCACGCTCCCGATCCAGAGCCCTCTCCCGCTGGCCGTGCAGGAATCGAAGTGGTGCCGCCTGCCCCACGTCCCGGCCGCCTGCTCGCCGCCTCTTCCTGCTTCTCCGTGTTGATGCCCTCGACATACCGCTCAATGTCCTCCACCGGCAGCAGCTCGAGCGGTTTGCCGGGTGCCGACACCGCAATCTCAATGTTCTTCGCGCCCGTCTGCACCACCTCCAATAGCGACTTGACCGTCAACTTGATCGTCTCTTCGCGGTCCAGTCCGTCCTTGTGGTTGCGCTCGAGGAATTCGCGGACCGTCTTGCTCGATCGTCCAATGGCGTTTGCTTTCCTGTGACACTGTCAGATCAACCATCCCACTGTTTGTGCAACCAAGGGTGCGTACCATGCCGAGTAGATGCCTGATGGCTCCGTCTGGTAGAGGCGGGGTGTCTTGTCGTTGGGGTCGAATCCAACAATCAGCGTGCTGATGCCAAACGGCCGCACACCACCGCTCTGCGTGTACCTCTGCTGCACACCGGCGACGTATTTTGTAATGTACTCTATTGACACGGGGTCCTCGACGGTCAGGCGATGTGATTGGGCCTCGAGGCGCGCCTTGTCGACGAGAATGCGGGCATCGGCGTTGAGTCCGGCGAAGGCGAGGGCGACGTGGGTGTCGACGAGGCAGATCTTGGAGGGGGTGATTCGCGTGTCCTGGAGCTTCATGGCCGAACGCTTTTCGCAGCCGAGCACGACAATGTCTTTGCCCTTGACTCCCACAGCACAGGTACCTGGGACCGATATGTCAACAGTCTGTGGCTGGTTTGTGGTGACTTGCTTGCACCCGCGGGGTGTATTCCGTACCTCGCTTCACAGCTTCCAGAGCATATTCCACCTGAAAAACGTGTCCATCAGGACTGAAGACTGTTGGTTGATAGATTAGCGGACCGACTGTTTGCATGCATCGTGATGCTGAATCAAGTGGTGGCAGCTACCTGAGAGGGCGCGATCGTAGCCGGAAGCCATTGTGGATTATCTAATTGCACGTATTGGGAGACGGGTCTGTTCTGTCTGTTTCAACAAGAGGTGGTGTACGGGTGAAGCGAATTATTCTGGCGAGGCAAAAGGTGGAAGAAGAAGACGAAGAGGTGGTGGTGGTAGTGGTGGTGACAGCATCCAAATTGGCCCGCCCGAGCTGGCTGAGAGCTCCGTCCGTCGTCGTCGCCCTCTTCCACCTAGAATGCCAAGCCTGGTGGCCCGTGCCACCCCCGTCCAATCCAGAGAGCTGTCGAGTCTTAGTCAGCCTTTTCGTCTTCTACGCCCATCTCGTCATGAATGAATCTATACAACATCCATTCCTTCCCCCACTCTTGGGTTTTTATCTTTACTTCTCTTGAATCCATTGCTGCTTTTTTTGTACTACCATGTCTACAAGATTGGCTGCTTCTGTGAGGCGTTCTGCCCTCTCAGCACGTTATTCGCCGCGTATAAAAACATTTAGACCCGCCGTGCAACATAGATGGACTTCTTCCGCTTCTTCGGAACCACACCAGCCAGACGCAAAAGACACCGTCAAGGGCGCCCCAGCGCCTGCCAAGACCATCGAATTCACCTCCAAAAAGTACGCTTTCCAAACCAACAACCTTCAATGTTACTTGATCATATCTTACTTACTCGAACAGGTATCCTGAGATCAAGCGAGACTCCAAATTCGCAAAACTGACTCCAGCGCACGTCCAGTACTTTCAAGATCTTTTGGGCTCTGAATCTGCTGTTTTGGATGGCGTATCAAAGGATGCATCCGAGGACATTGAGCCGTACAATAGTGACTGGATGCGCAAGTTCCGCGGCCATGCCCAGCTCGTGCTTAGACCTAGCTCCACAGAGGAAGTGAGCAAAATCTTGAAGTATTGCAATGAAAACATGCTTGCCGTGGTGCCACAAGGCGGTAACACCGGCCTGGTGGGCGGGTCAGTTCCCGTGTTTGATGAGATTGTCATCTCGCTCCAGAAAATGAGCAAGATCCGATCGTTCGATGATGTTTCCGGCATCCTCGTTGCCGATGCTGGTGTCATTCTCGAAGTTGCCGACAACTTCCTTGCTGAGAAAAACCACATCTTCCCTCTAGATCTCGGAGCCAAAGGTTCGTGCCACGTTGGTGGTAACGTCGCGACCAATGCCGGAGGTTTGCGACTCTTGCGTTACGGAAGTCTTCACGGCAACGTGCTCGGTATCGAAGCTGTGTTACCCGACGGACGTATCATGAATGACCTTATGACGCTCAGGAAGAACAACACCGGCTACGACCTCAAACAACTTTTCATCGGTGGTGAGGGTACCATCGGCATCGTAACGGCCATCTCCATTCTCTGCCCACAGCGTTCGCAGGCCGTCAATGTCGCCTACTTTGGGTTGGAAAGCTACGAGCAGGCACAAAAGGCTTTCCGGGCGGCTAAAAACCAGCTGGGAGAGATCCTGTCTGCTTTCGAGATGATGGACGGGCGCACGCAAACAATGCTGAAAAATGTCACCGGTCGCAAGATGCCTTTGGAGGGAGAGCATCCGTTCTATTGCTTGATCGAGACCAGCGGATCCAATACGGACCACGACAGCGAGGTATGCCATACAGTCTTCCGCCCATCGAGAATGGCACGACCAACTAACCTCTTCAACTAGAAACTTCAAAATTTCCTGGAACACGTCATGGAGCAAGAGATTGTTTCCGATGGTGTCATGTCGGAGAACCAGACGCAATTTGCCGACATCTGGTCGTGTCGCGAAGGTATCACTGAAATCCTTGGTCACTGGGGTGGTGTGTACAAGTACGACCTCTCGCTACCCATTGCCGATCTCTACGCCCTGGTCGATGAGACTCGTGAACGTTTGGCCCAGGCCGGTCTTCTTGGCGATAGCGAGTCGCACCCTGTCGTAGATGTCGTTGGGTACGGTCATATGGGGGACGCCAATCTGCATCTCAACATCCCCACAAGAGGGTATAACAAGGAGGTCGAAAAAGCGCTCGAGCCATGGGTCTATGAATGGGTCCAGAAGAAGAATGGAAGTATCAGTGCCGAACATGGTCTCGGTGTGACGAAGAAGCCGTACATTGGATACAGCAGGGACGACACTATGATTGGCATGATGAAACAGATCAAAAATCTGTATGACCCGGTACGTACTGGGATGAATAATTTTGGTGTGATCCTGCTGACCAGAACAGAATGGTATCATGAATCCATACAAGTACATATAGTTTACCTAGTCGCATTCTTCATCGCGCAGTATTCCCACTTTGACCTTACAATGTACTTTTTTGTTCTTTTCAGTTTTTGGAACTCGGTCTCGTCTCCGACATGTTTCTTTCCAGCAACCGTCTGCCGTTCCCCTCATAAATGGCTTTTCTTTGCTCCTCGTCGAACAAGTGCTCCAAACCGTCCCTCATTCGATTCGCCAGCATCTCGGCAGCTCCAGCGTTGGTAAATGGGAAATCGCTTCCATACAGCAGGCTCTCATACGAAATGTCCCATCCTTCCACAAAGGCCTTCAGCTGGCCCCTGCCGCCGGTATCTCCGTCGAAAATGGTTCCAGCGAGGTCAAAGTAAAACTGATCCTGCATCTGCTGCCTCACTTTGTCGCCATCCAAAGGTTTCACCCCAGGGACCAGGGACCCAAACGCCGTGAAGCGTGTGATGAGCGGCGGTAACGTTCCTCCGACGTGTGGAATAATGAATTTGATGTTGGGGCAGCGATCCACAGTCCCCGAATAAAACATATTGATGACAGCCCTCGACGTATCATACAAAAACTCGAAAATAGGAATGGGATACCTATTTCCAAATGGCAGGGCGGCAGTGGCGCCGGCATCGTCAATCCCCACACTCGCATTCATACTCGCAATACACGGGGCCCCCGGATGCAAGAAGACTGTGGCGTTCAACTCATTCAATCGATCAAATACCGGGTCCAAGACGGTATCCCCAACATAGACGCCATGGTAGTTGGTCATAAGGGCAAACCCATTTGCGCCTTCTTCCCTCGCACGTTCGATTTCCTCGAGAGCATCGTGCACATTCGGCAGGGGTAGCGAGGCCCAGAAGCCGAATTCGTCCGGATAGTCCGACTTCAAGTTGGCGGCATAAGCATTGCACTCGCGCGTTAATGATTTTCGAGCTGCGGGATCGCTGGGCCAGAGGTGGGTACCGGGCGAGGAAATAGACAAGATGGATTTGCGCACATTGGTCGTGTTCATGATTTGGCGGTGGGCGGTGGGGGACCAGGGTGGGATGGCGGGCATACCATCGGGATGCGAGTTACCTGTTTCGATGAGGGCGTCACGGTAAAAATGCGGTAGGAAGTGCGAGTGCACGTCTATGCGCGCGGGAAGGGGATTGGACATTGTGCAAAGATGTCTGGCTATCTATATGATGGCGTTCTCTATCGTCGAGCTCGAACGGACGCAAGGGAGAGTTTGAAGAGGATGTGAGGTGAGGTGAGAATTGAGTTTTTGCATCTCACTCGCAGTTGGCTATATACATGGCTGCAGTCTGACGTGGAGCTCGTACGAAGATGGGGAGCCGACTCAGCTTCCTTTTTGCCCTTCAGCACGGTCATCGGAAAGGAATGAACCCCTTATTCCGTTATCATCCGGTTCGCTCCTCGTTGTTACACGACAGTCGGTTCTATGCCTCCACGTGCTGACTGGATTAATCGTCCCCCGTTGGCTTGAGATAGGAAGCATGGGATCAATGGATACAGAGTGTGGCGCTCTATCTGTGGCGTTGATGCTGTGGCTCAGTCGAACAAAGATTCGGAGCGAAAGCGGAGGTGGAACCCTGGCGACGATCTTTCTTTTCTCTCAACCCCTCACTTGACTGAACAGAAGAGGTTCTCGGTCTTGATCTTATCCCAAACGTGAAGAGTCATGGAAGGGCTGAGAACTAGAAACGGGATGGGATCAGAAGGAGTTTCTTTGTTGTAGCAACGGCGGGCGGGCCAGGTAGGTCGGTGGACATTTTTTTCGTGTTAGCTACGTAACGAGAGCTAGCTAGCTGCGTCGAGGTGGAGGTACGTCGTCGATAACTGCCGTGGGACAGCACTTTGCTTCACTACCCACTCCGCTCTTTACGAGCCCTACTTCGCCCACTCCTTCGTATCTCGTTATCTACCCTTTTTCATCCCATCTCTTATCCCTATTACCTCTCACCAGACATCTGTTCGTCTCCGTCCTTCGCCGCCGCCCCCCGCACGCGACTGACCGACTACAACACGATCAACCACCATGGAGCGCATCACCGACAAGATAAATGCTTTGCCCGAGGATGCGAATTACTTCTCTCTGGAGTTTTTCCCTCCAAAGACGCAGATGGTGAGACCATATCCCTCTTCTTCTAACCAATTTCATTGTTCTTCTTTGGGGACGTGGTTTAGTCTAGTGGGGGTAGTTTGTAATGCGCTTTCTCCTCCTGCGTCATTCGTTGCAACAATGTCATGCAGGAATTACTCCCTCACATGAGCCAAGCAAAATCCCTCGTCCAGATGAATAACAAAACTGACGCAGACATATATAGGGCTTTGCCAACCTTCAATCGCGTCTTGAACGCATGTCGCAGGCCCTCCGTCCTCTCTTCGTCACCGTTACCTGGGGCGCCGGTGGCTCAACCGCCGCCAAATCCCTTGAACTCGCCGAAATCTGCCAGCGCCAGCTTGGACTGACGACATGTCTGCACCTGACCTGCACCAACATGAGCCGCTCGCTCATCGACGAGGCCCTGGAGGAGGCAAAGGTTCTGGGCATCCGCAATATATTGGCCCTGCGAGGCGACGCGCCGCGTAGTGAGGAGTACAGGGAAGAGGGACAACTGCCCGAGGAGGACAGCAACAAGGATTTTACATGGGCCGTGGATCTTGTGCGGTATATTCGCAAGCAGTACGGCGATTACTTCTGCATTGGCGTCGCTACGTATCCCGAGGGCCACAGCGACGAGAGCCACCCAGAGCACCAGGACCCGAAGAACGACCTGCCGTACCTGGTGGAGAAGACAAAGGCAGGCGCCGACTTCCTCATGACTCAACTCTTTTTCGATGTCGAGGCCTACGACGAGTTTGAGAAGATGCTGCGGAGCCACGAGAGCGGCGTGTTCAAGACGATACCCATCATCCCTGGCCTGCTACCAATACAAAGCTACAACATTCTGAGAAGAGTGACGAAGCTCTCGCACGCAAAGATCCCCCCGGACATTCTCAGCAGACTGGACCAGGTCAAGACGGACGACGAGAAGGTGAAGCAAGTGGGCATCAAGGTTCTAGGCGACATAGTCGAACATATCAAGCACAAGCCTAGTCCGACGCGGCGGGGCTTCCACTTCTACACCCTCAACCTCGAAAAAGCCGTATCACACATTCTCGAAGACTGCCATCTCATTCCGGATTCGCTGCTCGACGAGGACGACGAAGACGCCATCGAAACCACCCCGGCCATCAACCTCACTCCCCCAGAAGGCACCGTACGCACCCGCGATCGTTCCCGCCTCTCCTCCATCAACTCAGGCCCCCACAACCGCGTCATCACCTCCCGTCCCTCGCGATCCAAATCTAGCCACGCATCCTACGAAGCCCTCGAGTCGGAAGCCGGCGTCCCACGCGGCCCCATCAACACACGCGCAAACACCCTCGCCATCTCCGAAGGCGAAGGCTCCCTCGGACGCGAAGCAACCTGGGACGACTTCCCCAACGGCCGCTGGGGAGACGCGCGGTCCCCAGCCTTTGGCGAAATCGACGGCTACGGACCCACGCTGCACGTGTCGACGACAACGGCGCTCAAACTCTGGGGCCACCCGCTCTCCACGGCCGACATCTCGACCCTCTTCCGCCGCCACATGGAAGGCGACCTCGCGGCGCTGCCCTGGAGCGAAGCGGGCCTCTCCCCAGAAACAAGCACCATCGCGCCCCACCTCCTCGCGCTCAACGCAAAAGGCTGGTGGACCGTCGCCTCGCAGCCCGCCGTCAACGGCGTCCCGTCCACCGACCCCGTCTTCGGCTGGGGCCCCAAAAACGGCTTCGTCTTCCAGAAACCCTTTGTCGAGTTCTTCATCCCCTCGGCCGACTGGTCCACCCTCCAACCCCGCCTCCAAGCCCACGAGCAAATCACGTACTTTGCCTCAAACGCTGCCGGCGACTTCGCCGCCAGCAACGAAGCCTCTGTTAACCCAGTCACCTGGGGTACCTTCACCGGAAAGGAAATCGTCACCCCGACTATCATCGAGGCCGTCAGCTTCCGCTCCTGGAGCGACGAAGCCTGGAGTATTTGGCGCGAGTGGAGGAGAGTGTATCAGACTAGGAGCGTTAGTGCAAAGGTCGTTGAGGGCTGTCGGAGGGATATGTGGCTTGTTAATGTCATTTGGGGGGATTTTGTCGAGGGCGATGGGCTTTGGGGGTTTTTGCTGGGGGAGGATTGAGCGGGCGAGCGAGGAAGTCACCAAGCAAGAAGAAAAGAGGGAGGGCTGGATGTGGTCAGGCTAGGAGCATGGTGCGAATATCAAGTCATTTATTTCTTTTTTTTTTTCTTTGAACATAGCTTGATTTGTAGCCTTCTTCTTTTTTTTATCTATCTATTACGCATTCAACACTGCATCTATAACTATCTTATTCTATTAAATATTACTTCTTGTAAATGTACTTTAATACTTTTATAATAAAGTATGTCTTGTTTTTACGCGTTTGGGTTTAAAGCATTGCTACTGTGTTTATGTAGATTTGTATGTTTTGTTCTTCAGGAATATTGTTAGATTCATTCAACCAAGTATTATTGAATAAAGATAGTTCAGCAATTTCTGCTAAGGAGAAAAAAGAGATCAAGGCAATTTAAATATAGCAGGATTTAATTGTAGGTAGAGTTTTAAGTAAAGAAAGAATATGTGTATATATAGGCAAGAAGAAATAGATAGAAAGGAGTACAAAGGAGATGTGCATTTTATGTAATAAAAGAGAAAAAAAAGGGAATGTACAATCTGAGGTTCCAACGAGGAAAAAGGGGAAAGAAAGTCCCTAGTCAGACTTAACCACAGTGTAGAAAAAGCCGTCACTTAGCCCATTCACCACCCTGCCCCTTCTGTGCCCTAGAATAAACCTCGCGGATCCACCACATACACCTCTCCGCCTTATCCTTCTTCTCCTCCATCTCCTTCAAAGCCAACTCCCTCATTTTCGGAATCGCTCTAGCCATCGCCTCCTCATCCTCATCCCCCTTCCCCTTCCCCTTATCATACCTCTCATATTCCCCCTCCCACCCAGCATACTCAGCCTCTTCAGCCTCCCGAAGCGTCTCCTCCCCATACTCCCTAATCAACCTCCCAACATCCTTAAACACATTCTCATGCGTCTTGTCTTTCTCCCGCTCGCGTAATTCCTCAGCGGTGTACATCTTGGACATTTCGAGGAAGTGGGTGCTGTTTGTGACGAAGTAGTCGAGGCTGAGTGTGAGGGTGAAGATTCTTCGCATGGAAGGGTCGTGGGTGGCGAGGTAGTGACGCGCTTGGTGGAGGTCGTAGAAGTGGGATTTTGGGCGCTCGGGGGGCTGGGTTGTGGATGGCGGTGGGGGGGATGGATTGGGGGGTGGTGATGGAGCTGGAGGAGGGATGGATCCCGGCGAGTCGCTCCCCGAAGTGGATTTCGATGAGGTGGTTTTTGCTTGGTTTGGACTTGCTTGGGCGGTGCTGGATTGAGCTTCGGACTTGGGCTTTGCGGGTTTGCTTTTTGGGTTGGTGCTTTGGGATTTGCTTTGGTCGGTGTTTTTGGTGGAATATGGAGGCGGCATTTTTTGGGATGTTGTGGTGTGTTGAGATGTGTGTGGGAATATTGGTGTTTTCTTCGTTGTTGGTGATCGTGGTGGGTTGTTTGGTTGAGGGAAGAAAGCGTGGAGGAAGATTCTAGGGCGTTTTATATGAGAGGATGGAGAGTCATGGTAGGTTTTACATGGGGGTTTGTAGGGTAGGAGTCACTCTTTGGAGGCGATAATGTTCTATGTGATGAGTTTGTAGGAGTCATGATCGTGGTTAGGCTCACACAAAGGATAGATTGGGGTACACTGATGTGCCGTTTTTCTGGTCACCTCCTAATAATACCCCGAATGTGGATGTTGTGGTCCTTGCATATTCAGTGATCGAATGAAACGTAATACTGGGTGCGCTACTTGATCTGATTTACCGAATCTATGGTAGATATTGCATCCGCTACTGAGATTTGCCGCGTGGCAGATTGCTACGCTCACACAAAGTTACTCCGTACTACTTCTGATCACAAGTGTACCGCGTCAATTCTGAAACACCACGTTTATCCACGTCATTTTGCTTATTTAGTAGTCTATCTGTATCACCGTGATGTTTCCCCAAGAGTTACTCCCGCAAAACAATGAGTCAAATATCGTCGTACAGCACGTTCAGCCCTTTTTGAAATGACTGTCCACTTCCCGACATCGAGAATGCCGCAGCTTAAATAACGAACAAATTCGCTGTTCACTTTCTTGCAACCAAGTATCTACACCCACAGCTTCTAACTACTTTTTCCCAGGCAATCACGTTTTCGTAACGATATCGAAGGATACCTCTGTCCAACCATGCCTTCCAACCCTCCAAGCAATCCTCCAGGCACTCCACCCTCGCGGCAAAACACGCCTAAACCGGCCGTCTCAGTTCAAAACGACGCATCTACACATACCGCTGCTTCTCCGAAAAATACACCAAAACAAACCACTTCTGCTCCGAAAGATGCACCAAAGCAGGCCACCTCTTCATCAAAACAAGCATCGGCACAGGAACTCAACCCAGATGCGGATCACACCGCCACATCTTCAGGTTCTGCTTTTCCGTATCATAAACTCAGCGTAATGATCCCAAAAGTCGGCGACTTGAAGGACGCTATCACTTCCGAATGGTACAAAAAGTACATGCAAGTCATGCTCAACGCCCCATTCATGAGCGACGACCCATGGGTAAAGCGCATACTCAAATACATCGTAACGCTTGACTGGGGAATCATCCATATGTCATCGATTACAAGCCTGGATTGGGACGAAGACCAGGTTGCGAAGACTGCGATGCTCGAGGTGCTCAATGTTGTCAATAAGGTGAGGGCTTGGGAGGGGTGGCGAACAAGGAAAACCGAAGGCAGTCCGGAACATATATTGTATTTGCATGCTGAACTCAAGGTCGAGCATTTCGGGAAGTGTGAGAAGACGGCACTCGAGATCATTGAAAAAATCGATTCACCGAAAGATTCACCGAACGATTCACCGAAATCAACTGCTTGAGATGTATTTTGATCTACCCTCGCATGAACTTTAGACCTGTAAGCACACTCCTTTCTCGGTTCAGGACTTCCCATAACAATATTGGTGATGCTTTAGACTGGATGTTAATTGACCAGTAAGACAGTGCTCACCTACTTGCGGGAGCCTAACTTATCGTCCTAGCGAGCGTGATGGCGACGGTGGTCTCTATCCGTCTCTCGGTTTGGATTTCGTGGTGGGTCCACCGCCTCGGTATGGGAATTGTATCTGAAAAATCGGCTCTTGCCATGAAGTGCTATGGCGGTCATCTCCTTTCTTGTTCATTCCTCAGCATATTCTTCTCTTAATGATTATCCAGATTGTTCGCCACAAATTGTATTTTCTTGTTAGTTCTTCACTCCTTTGGTTGCTAGATAGATCATTCCACGAATACATCTGTTTCTCATCCATTGCGGCACAGTATCGCTTCTTCTCGTACATTTTTTTTTCGTTATCTGTACCATTGAATGCAGTGTGGGAATGTGTGACAAGAAGACCAGTTCTGCTTATCATTATATCTTTTTATGATGATGAAGCAAACGCATTTTCCGCTGACTGTGCGCGCCCCATTTTGATGAAACTTTTGTTACAGTAGTGAATATATAGCGAGTATATTCATTCACAAACTTCAATGCCTATATTGTGATTGCGTGCACAACAAACAATCTTACACGCCTGAAAGTGACATATCCCACACCAATGCTTGGATAGATTTCATGACTAGATCGGACGAATTGACTGGCAATAGTGTTGTTGTGATCGCGAATGGAATGCGAGAGCATACGAAATATCGCCCTATGTACGCATCGGGCATCAATGACAGGAACGGACAGTTGTCATGAATACCATAAGTTCAGCTCACAGAACATTGCATTTTCCCAGTCACCTGCATCTGAAAAGTGATTCATCTCGACAGAGCAATCATCTTACTTTTGACACACAGATAACGTAAAGGCGCTAAGCTCTTCGTAAGGATGTTGCCTATCACCATTCCATTACGCCGACGATAGTATCCGTTTGAAGTAATTGAATAGCCCGAGTACCCATATTGTAAACGACAAAAAGACTCGGATTTCATCGAGAACTTCACCATAATCTACACATACCGAGTGTTCGCGCTGCATTTGACGCACATGAACTATTGAAGTTCATCGGATTCACGCTTTCACCAGCTCTCTGTCTGGTATGAATGGTTTGTGAATGTAAGACAATGTCTATAAATTTGAGCTTCAGGACTGGGTACTTTCTACATAATCGCTACCACCGACACACTTTAGCAAAAAAAGAACTCAGAAATACAACCATCATTCCACAATCCCACCAAAGACTCTACTCTCACGCCCTAACCACGAACATATCAAAATATGTCCGTCCTCAGTATTGGCACTCGTGCTCTCGAGTCTTACGTTCACTCACTCAACATCTTCGCCTTTCATACAAAAATACAAGTCCACAAAGGAAGAGAAAAATACATTACACACTTCAAGAGGAAGATGAAAGCCATCAACAAACATATCAAATCGGTTGAGGAGCAAAACGAGCGTCTGACCAGGGGTCGTCCTGCGCTCGATTCTGCGGCGCAGAGCAATCGTGAGTGGCAGGAGGCGAAGAACAAAGTCAAGCCGTGCATCGAAGCGGCTGAGAAGCGTCTGGGGAAAAAATGGGATAATGAGGAGGAAGATTTTGTGTAGGACGATGCTGTGCATGACGATTTCTAGGAGCGGGGAGGGATCGTGATTCGCGCTGAGGATCTGCTCGCGAGTCATGCTTTTGCTTTCAATTCCTTTCTGATATCTAATCTTTACTTTCTCGGTTATTTTTTAATGTTTTATGTTTAGCTGAGTTTTGTTGTATTATAATTGCGTAAGCGGGCTTACCTTTGCTGTTTGTTTAAATCTGCTTTTGCATTTTATGTAACAACCTATATTTAAATCTAGAATTTCTAAAATGCTTAATCGTTAATATCCCGATTATGGTCTTGAGTAGTGACTCGGGTCACTTGGCGTTCCCTCAACAGCTTTGCGATCGCTCCGATCTTCAGGGCAGACGTAGATTTTAGCTCTGTCGATCTGATTTGTTGCTGATTTTGATATTCTACGAGTGTTATGTTGACTTGGTGAGTTTGTTCTTCGCGTTCTTTTTAGTTCGCTCTAAGGTCTTTCTATCTTAACGGAGTTGTACCAACTTGCATAAAGCTTCCAAGCATGTGCGAGCGATTCAATATGTGTGAGTTACGGGAGTTCTGCGCTAGTACACTGTTAGTATTTTCCTAAACGTGGCCAAGATGCATCCGCCCAAGAGCGGCTGTTCACATACGGATCCTTAATGTCCCAGTCCTGTGATACTTGCGACTGCTCATAGCAAGTTCCCATATAGTACGGGTCGCCAGCTTCGGGCGTGTGGGGAATGGCAGCGGCCTTGGGCTCCGGTTTGATGTCGATGTTTGTCGACATTTCGAATCATGTGCGACAACAGTGTAGAGATCCACTGCGGGGATGGCGGCTTCGGCTTTGTTAAATATCGATTCACGAAGCATGGACGAGATCCTATCCGGCATTTAGTTTCAGTTCTGCTACAAAATAGGCCTCCCGCGAATGGGGGCGAAAACCAAGTGGCAAACCAGGCGGTAAACCCAGGCGGTAAACCCAGGCGGTAAACCTAGGCGGCAAGTCAAATTTCGCTATGGCTTGATCGACTATGGTAAATGAAAAACTGCCCTCAAGAGCGAGAAAGGGCAAAAGCGGTCCATCGATACTTAATCGTCGTCGAGGAGGCCGCATAGGGCGGAAATATCTGAGGTCAGTTGCGGCCCGAAGGTGATCCACGTCAGTAAGCGAGACAGCCCCTGTGCCCTCCAGAAACCCGCGAATGATCTACCTACTCGTGTTCCTATTCTCGAGAGCAGTTATTTGACAGGTATAGTATGTCTTTCTCACGCCCGAACTCCTCTGACAATTGTGCGGTAGCTTTTTGAGCACGATATACGAAGCTGGATTGAAAACAGTCTCGCACCCTGAGCCACTACTCAGCCAATCAGAATGCCATATGAATCTGTCATGTTCGTATATGCAGGTCAGACAAGGGTCAGGCTTGAACAAGTGACACATTTTTCTCACATGGGGCCGATATGTACTTATATCTGTGGAAGAGCATAATTTGACTCTCTGTCGACTCGCCCACAGATCATCCTGCGGCGACATTATACTTTTTCGGAGCTGATACCCGGCACTAGGCGATTCGCAGACCATGGATGACTTGAGCCCGGACCAATTGCGCGAGTACGAAGAGTATGCCCAGAAAGGGCCATTGTGGAAGAAAGTCCAATGCGCATTCCGAGATGAGCTTATCGACAAAGACGGACTGCATCACGCTGCTTCTACACTAAAACTACTGTTGGATAAGCATATTTTCGCCGAGAACGTGAAAGGCTTCTATGAGTCGTTAACTCGAGCTCAAACAACGAGCTGGATGATTCTGAAGCATTGGTACGATGGTCAATATCAGCACGAATCCCTTTCGAGATCGGCTCGCGAATTCATCGATTTTCTGCATATTACGGAGGCTCCCACAAAATGGTATACCGTCGACGACTTTCCGTACACGAGCTCTAGCTTATATCACACCATGATGATTCGCTTGTTCGAGCTTGAATTCTACCCCAGGCTGATCAATTTTTCGGGTGAACAGGACGAGGTCCATATGTCATGGAAAGAACTCGCATCAATGCTGAGACGTGTTCGTGAAGAAGCTCTGCTCCACGCAACAGCGCAGCGGTTTGGATTTCAGCACCTACCTGAGCAGCGAAGGAAGGGAAAGCCTGTTCTCGGACTATGCAGCTCGACACTCGAGCCATGCGGCTGGCTTCCCGAGTTTGAAGACCCTACGCAGATGCCTTACTATGTTTGGGATATCGCTATGCGCAAAACAGTCGTTGTCAGCAGTCTCACCCATGTCCCCAGATACACATGCATTAGCCATACATGGGGAAGATGGCGTGTCCCCAACACATTTCATAGAGTTGAAGGGGTTCCCTGGCCAGTGCCGGTGAATACACGATTCGATGTGCATAAACTTCCAGATATATTTGCGGCGAACAAGTGGACTACGCCTTATCTATGGTTCGATCTCTATACCATACCGCAGAATGGTTCGAAACTCGCAGACGAAGAGATTGCTCGCCAACACATAATCTTCCGGAATTCGAGTGCTGCTGTGGCTTGGATCAGTGGTATACAGTCGTGGGACAAGCTATCAAATGGGATAGAATGGTTGGCATTGAGCTACCTGCAACATACCTCATCTCCAGACCTCTACGACGTGAAAGGTGCACTCGAGACTGTTTTGGATGCAAGGAACCCTCCCCTCGAAACAACTGGCGCACTTAACGATGTCAAAGAAGAGGAAGAAAGTGCCACGCTGCAAAATCAGGTTCTGGATAAAAGCTCGTATACTTTGTATCCAGGAGCATGGTTCACATCTCTCTGGACTCTCCAGGAAACCTTTTTATGTCCTCACATGGTTCTTGTCTCGCAAGATTGGAAGCCGCTCCAGGACAAAGCTGGCTGTATAGTCACACTTGATAATCTCATCGCTTTGGAGCAGTACGCACTCCAATACATACGCTACTCAAAGTTCTCGGACGCCGATTTCAGCGATCCTTCAGGTTACGATGCCAACGCGTCGTGGCGAAGTACTCAGTCTAGCCACACGAAACCAACGGGCCTACCCGCAGATGTCCAAGAGATACAGGCATTGATCACTATGACAAAAGCATCGGACTGGCTTCGTCCGTCACCCATTTCAGTCCTCGTGCTGGGGAATATGCGCACATGCACCGAAAGTCGCGCTCAAGCTATCATGTGTATTCTAGGGACGACGGCTTGGTATACAAAACATGTTGAGAAATATGGGTCGCGACCACCAGACAAATATTTGGTCCTTGGGATGTACCCGCTTCCATTTCTCCAAGAGGTCATCAGGAAATTTGGAGCAGCTATATACCTTACAACTAAAGGTATTGCCAATTGCGATGAATTTTTTCAAGGGATCGACAGCGATATACTATCAGGGTCTATGTTGCCGTTTGCAACGGGTCACAGCAGCCGATCCGTTGGCTCGCCTATCAATAACTTCACGAGAGATGATAATGAAGATCATCCCGACGTGTCGGCGTGGGAGCTCCAGCAAGATGGGACCGTACGCATTACAAGAGCCGGTGTCTTGACTGCAAGTGACTATAGATACAACGATCCGCAGCACACCGCACGTGTTATGGACTGCCGTCAAGAGAGATCGAGCTTGGAGGAAGTCAGGCTATCAGAATGGCTGGAGCAGCAGCCAGAAACTCACGCTCGATTCGCTGTTGCCGTTGCGCGGGATAGATTGACTCTACACGGTATCATTTTGGAGGGACCAAGATCTACGTCTGCTGGGACACAACGTCTTCTGAAGACTGGAATATTTACAATGCCAACATTGCTCTTTCCACGCTCCTCAAGGGTGGACTGGATTGTTGTATAACTCCCTATGGCTTACGATAGTGCACGCGCATAAGACTCTGTGTAGAAAATCAATCACCATCTAATATTAATGCTAGAGACTGAAACAAGTAAATTTTAGATTTAGTGCATTGTCCTACTGTTTTATTAAACTTACAACAATTTCTATTGCTTCTCTCTTAACGTTTCTCTAAATTACTTTTTTAAAAAAGCCCCTTTAGATTTATACGCAGATTAAGAGTAAGCAGTTTATTAAAAAAAAAAAATCTTTATGTAAAGTATCTTTTACATTTTTTAGATCTAGTTTTAAAGTCTTTAATAATTATTCTAATTTATTAGCTTGCTTAGCTCTCTTAAGTTATATCTTCTTAATTTAACAAGTTATAACGTACTTCCTAAGTGTAACGCAACGCTACATGCTTAGGCTATACCTAAAGGCCTTTTAGTTTATTACAGTAATATCTTAATCTAACTATTAGCTATATTTTAGTTAAGCTTTAACTTAGCTATAGTTAAACTAAGTGCTATTTAATAATAGCTTACTTTTTTAATAAAAACACTTTGCATACTACTTTTAAATATATATATAAAAAATTAATTTATTTTCTACTTATATTTAGAATACTATAGATACTTATAATAATTAAATACGCTACTTAAGTACTTACTACTAACTAAAGGTATAAGAGTTAAAAATAGCCTAACTATAGTTAAATAATTTCAATTATCCTTTTATATAAAACTTATAGAAATTTAGTTATTTTTTTTTAGTACTTTTTATTTTTATATAATTTTTTTAAGCTAATTTATAGCTATACTAGAGCTATACTATACCTATATTATTATATTATAATTAAAACTCTTTTTTACTAAAAACAGCTTGTAAAATATTATATTTTTATTAGATAGTTAAGATTAAACTTTTAATATATAGTAGTTATATTTAAAATACTTTTAAACTATTATGCTACCTCTTTAAAACTTACAGTATAGTTAAAATCTTAACTATACTTTTAATAACTAAAGCTTTTAAGTTTAAAACTTTTACTTTATCTTTTTTTTAAGTTAAATTACTTTTAAAAAAAATATAAAAGACTGCGCTAAAGTAGCAACTAGGTAACTACTAATAACTTACTTAAATTATATTAAAATAGTAATATTAGGCCTATTTTTTAACACTTGCTATAAGAGAAAAAATACTATTACTTTAAATAAGTTTTATCTCTTTACTAATAGTAGCTTAGTTCTTATTTTATATAAAAAACTTACTTTTTTTTTTATAAAGAAATTTTTTTTTAAGCTTTTACTTGCTTAACTTACTAGCAGCGCGCTGCCTCTTATATTAAAGTTATTAGCTAGTTAAGTTTATAACTTCTAAGCTCTAATAATTAAAATAGCTTAAAAATTAGCTTTTTATTAATTTTTTACTAAACCTTATAAGACTGTGCTTTTAAAAGATTTTCTTTTTATAGTAAAGCTAATTCTTACACTGCTTTTTATAGCTAAAAATATATTTAAAGCTTTTATAATAATAATCTATACTAAGCTCTTAAAGCAGACTCTAAAAATTAAGCTTTTAAATAATAGTACTAACTTAACTTTTTGCTAGTAGCTAGCTAGTATCTAAAACTAACTAAACTTTAATTTTAGATTATTTTTTTTTAAAACGTGCTTATATAGCTAAAGTTTAAAAATATACTTAAAGTCTTACTTAAAAATACTTAGAACCTAGTTATTTTATAACTTTTTTAAACTAAAAGTTTATTTATGCTAAAGCTATAATTAAGCTACTATACTTATACTTTATTACTAGTAATAAAAAAGCTAAAGACTACTTAGCCTTCTACTAACTTTATATAAAAAAAAATAAGACTTTTTTTGCGTTTAAGGCCTAATTTATATTTATAGTAACTAAAAGTTATATTTTTTATAATAAATAGTTTTTTTACTTTTAAAAGAAAATTACTTCTGCTCTCTACGTACTTAACTTAGAATTTAAAATATACTAAAACAACTTATTTAAGTTTATATGTTTTTATTTAACATTTTATAATTTTAAGCGCTAGAACACTTTTATTATTACTCTAAATATAAAGCGCTTTAAAATATAAGAAGTTATATTTAAAACTATAGTTACTAGAAGAACTGAAACTACTTAACTTATTTTTTATATAAACGCTTTTAGTATTTTATATAAACTAATATATTAACTAGCTTTATATTAAGCTACTATACTTTCTTTTAGTAGATAGCTAAGTTAAGCCTTAGACTTATTTAAGTTTAATACTTATTACAATTATAGTAAGATTAGCTACTATATAAAAAACTACTTTATTTTCTGCATAAAGCAGATAAAAGTTAACTTTAGTAAAAAAAAGTTTTAAAATACTTTTAAGTATGCTATATTTGTAATAACACAGGCACAGCACAGCTCTAATACAGCTACAAATTAACTTAATAAAAAGATTACATAAGGATAAAAAGTGCTAGAGAGAAATAACTAAATTTCTAGAAGTCTTATATAGTAAGATAATTAAAACTATCTAACTAGAGTTAGACTATTTATAGTCTTTATACCTGTAGTTGCTAGCAAGCATCTAAGTAGCGTTTCTTAATTATTGTAAGTATCTGTAGTGTTCTAGATACAAGTAGAAAATAGATTAATTTTTTATATATGCATTTAAAAGTAGTATGCAAAGTGCTTTTATTAAAAAGCTAAGCTGTTGCTAAATAGCACTTAAGTAAAGTGTAGCTAAGTTAAAGCTTAATCTAAATGTAGGTAGTAGCAGGTTAAGCTATTATTATAATAACTTAATGTAAGGCGTAGTTATAGGCAATAGTACTTGCTTCACACTACTAGTAATAGTAAAAGATGGCTCTTCTTAGAAGGTATCCCCTTCTAATAATTTAGAACAACACTTGTCCCTATTTAGTGCCCTAGGTGCGCCTTTTGTGCGCTCTTGCTAAGCTGCCTACGCTAACTAGTAGCGCCTTGGCAATATTAATCCCCTTTAACACTAACTCTTATGCGGCGATGTTACAAAACTTCCCCCTTTAGCTAACGTCCCTAGCAGCCTTGCCTTATAGTCCCTTTATGTAGAACTTGTTTGTATGGTATGCGTACGTGCGCATGTGTGTGGCGCCAGTTGTTGTTTAGGTGTGTGGTTGGTGCGCGTAGCGTGCGACAAGTGTGGCTGCTTGTTATTGTTTGCTGCCTTAAAAAATCTGACGTGAAGTTGAATTGCGCAGTCTTGGTGCTAGCCTGCTTAGGTTGTTTATATCTCTGTTGTTAGTTGTTTTGCCTTATTGCTTGTCGTCTCCTTTACTCTTTACTTCCTCTTGCTTAGCGCACCTCTCTCGCACTATTAACGCTTGCTAATATAGTTTACTATCTGCTCCCCAAGTATATTAAGAAATCCTACCTCCGCAATGCGGCTCCCTTTGCTTGAAGCGATGGGGACAAGCGTGCTAACTATGTCGCCTAAGTGGCGACTTGCCTGCGCTGCGCTCAGAACATCGCCAGCTAGAAGAAACTCTGCTAGAAGGAGGAACATCGTTGTTGTGGCCATTGCTTTAAAAACAACTGGGGCTAGTGCACTTTAGTAAGATTCCTAGATGTCCGCTTTACCTGCGCTTTTGCTAATTGTCGTAGGCTTATGCGCGCTTCAACGGCCGTGTTAATTGTCTATATTAGCTTTGTTATTAATACAACAAGGCTGTTGAAGCTGCTGCTGCCCCTTGCACGGATGTTGCGGTGCGCTGTTACGGCGTGAAGCTTGCGCTCGCGCAGCGTCAATTTAATTTGGAGCTTTCGGCTTTCCGCCGTTAAGCCGCTTACTCTAGTACCCCTGTGGGTTTGCCCACTTAAGTTCCCACTTCTACTGCTAATTACTTGAGTTTAGTTCTCGTTGAGCAGCGCCGCATCGCTGCCGCCTTGGAGCAGCTTGCTAGTCTTATAGGCCTTGTTGTATGTTTACCCTTAGTGCGCACTTTGAACGCATGCTGATTGCTCTATAGATGAATCGTCCTGGTGCAGGTAATGAGGATTTATCCTCAGATGAATCTTCTTCTTCTTCTTCTTCTGATGACGATAATGGCAATGCCAACCAGACTGCCGCCCCTGTTAGGGGTTCTTAGGGAAATTGGGGTAGTGCTCGTGGCGGTTGTGGCGGTAGTTCGGCTTGTGGCGGTTGCGCTAATGGCGCAGCTGCAGCGCGTGTCCCTCTTCTAGCTGAGAGCGAAGATGAAGATAACAATAATGAAAATGTGGGCAAGGATGAAATTGTGGGCAAGGATGAAGAGTAGGGGATTTTTTCCCATCCATGTATAATAGCTTTTCTAGGGCTTGCTCCCCTCTTTAATAACGAAAGTGTCTCTTGTGCTCCCTACTTGCGCTTTTGCCGCGGTGCTCTTTTCTCTTTTTTAAATTCTTTAACTAACTCTTGCATGTTTCTAAAATCTGACTCTGGTACCTAGCTATCCCAAGTTTTATTATATCCTTTCCAACGGATAAAGTACTGAATTTTCCCTTTGTGAGTTCTTTTCCCCAGGATTTTTTCTGCCTCCTAGAGTTCTTCTCCCTCTAAATCAATGTCAGGTGGTTAGGTATTTAATTCTTTTTAACTAGGCCTAGGTTTCCAGCGTTCTAGAAGGGAAACGTGAAAGACGTTATGAATACAATAGTGAGGTGGGAGCATTAGGCGGTAAGCCTACGTTCTGATTGCGCGTTCTACCCTGAAAGGCCCTATAAACTTGCTGGATAGTTTCTTGCTTGGTTGATAGGTGAAGTTGATGTTCTTTGTGCTAAGTAATACTAGGTCACCTTGGCGGAAGATTTCTAGTCTGTGCTTTTTGTTGTAGTACTTAGCTTGGTACTGTTGCGCTTTTTAGAGCTGCTTTGCTAGCTTCTTTCTTGCGTTGTGCATGCGCTTTACTCTATTCTTTGCCTCTGGTACCTCCCCCTTAGCCCTGCTGTCCCTAGGAGGGTCGTTAAGAAGTAGATGCTTTCTATATACAGCGTAA